TCCGCCAGTCAATCCACCGCTGGTCGGCGGTCGCTCAATACTGGTCTCCACCTCCGAGCCACCATCGTCGCCTGCCACCGCCGCCGCTGATTCGCTCGAGGGGTTTGTTGGAAATGTTCCGTTCCTAACAGGGTTGTGGGAAGAAGAGCGGCAGAAAGTTCCCAGGACGAAAGGCAGGAGAAAGTTAGGGAGAGAGCAGCAAGGGTAGGGTTGTCGTCTGTTGACAGAAGAGCAGGCGAAGGAAAATCCTGTGGAAAAAAGGAATTCCAATCGTCGTCTTCCTTCCTTCCCGGACTAACAAGGAGTTGCCGCCGACCACGTTTCCACCGCCGCAGGTACATTTTTGTAAATGCTTTTTAACTATTTGGTACGGTGGATTAGAGTATCTGACGTAGTGTGTTGTTATACTCGTAGGTGTAATTTTCTTACAATGGATCGTGTATCTGAATGGTACCCGTAAGTATTGTTTACCAACTAATCCTTAGACTGTCTACTCCGCTTCCTTTTCGTATGGTCAGACATTAGTAACGGTTTTATTTGTAGGGATTTTATGGTTGAGCCTGGTTTCGTTGCAAACCTGCTGTATGAGGAAGCAGTAACTATGTCTGAATTTACGGAATCACTCAGTCTTATGTTGTTGCAAGAGAATGGTGACGTTGAGGTTATTGAAATAAATTTTTTTTTGTCATTCATCATTCTCGCTCTCGTTTGCACTTTTTCTGTTTGTTAATGCTTGTTAATTTTTTTTTGAAAATCCATTTGTTGTTTTAAACACCAGGGCACTTCTTACCTCTTCTCTGGACGTGTCACCGAGTTGAGGACATCATGGTGTGCTGCATCTAGAGTTCATTTGATCCACTTAGTTATTGAGGATGACTATTTGGATGTTGAGGTTGTTTTCCCATCGGCAAACTTACGCAAAATCCTTTCAGATGTAGTAAGTGATGAAGACATGGCCAATGCCGATTTCGTTACCCTTGTCAACTTGCTTGGTGGAAACTCTTATGAGTTTATGGTCACATTGGGTCCTTGGAACCATGGGTATTTTGAGCTGTTATTGGTCAAACTATTCTTTCCTCGTGGAAACTGAATACCATTACAGCAATGTCAATAGTAATCTACTAAATTTGCTTAGTGTCGGCCTTAATGCCATTTCTCTTGTTATCCAAGTGTACTAAGTGTGTGAACACAATGTTATTTTGTACGGGTCCTGCCTTCTTAATGAATTGTTGCTTCCTTATGGGTTGTTTGTTGCTTCTTAATACACTACATGCCACAAACAATCAAAAATTAGTATTCATGATTCATAAGAAAGAGCGAACTTGAAAATTAATAACAAGAGCGAACTTGAAAATAAAAATACGAACGTGCTTAAATATAAACATCTATCAATAGGAACGAATGATTGCAAAAAATGTCAAAATCTATACATAGCTAGCTAGGATCGTTAGTTTTACAAGCTGAACAATATAGTCCAACGTAGGAAGCAACAATTCTACCACATAGCTTGAAAATAAACATCACACTTCACTACAGCTATATAATAATGGCTGGTTTTCATGAACAAAATAAGTCCAGAAGACTTTCATTAAGTGATTAATTGACTTGGGATGCTAGTTTGGTTGCCTTCTGGCCCAATGATGCTGCTTTTGGCCCTCAAATGTACACAATATGTAGAGCTCGTTAATCAACTTGGATAAATAGGTTTTTGTTGGTTAAGTGGCAAGCAAATTGTTTCCATGATTCATATTAATAAGCGTACACAATTGAACAAAGCAGGTTGATTGTAGTCCAGCGGATGGAAGTTTGCAATGCCAATTTATGTCTTAGGTTCGACACCCATCAGAAGCATTTCAGTTTTGGTTTTAAGTTATTACTACTTGGAATAAGCCCGCGCTTCGCTGCGAGATGATCCATATTAATAAGCGTACACAATTGAACAAAGAATGTTGATTGCAGTCCAGCGGATGGCAGTTTGCAAGCCTAATTTTTTGGCTTGGGTTCGAAACCCATCAGCAGCATTTCATTTTTGGTTTTAAGTTATTGCAGTTGTACAACATTTGAAGGCTTCTTATGCCATTGTGGGGGCTATCTTACGAGAAGTCATCTTTATGTTGCAAGAATTGCCATTGGTTTCTGTTGCTTTTACTCCTGGAGAAGCGAATCGGGCTACCCATGTTGTGGCACGTAATGCCTTATGCTACTCTGGCTCTTGTAATGTTCGTTTTAATTGTTCTTATTTGTTTTGACTATCATTTCACGAAGAAGCCGTTGTATTGTGGCTCTCTCGTGCTTACCTAGTTAATCCGCAAGGGTTTCTATGACAAAATACAATAAAATAAGCCCGCGCTGCGGGATGTGTTTTATTTTTGGACACCAATTTTCGTCTCAGAATCTGTGTTTTTCCCCTTGCAACTTATTCCATTAAGGACATCTGCATATCAATATTGTCTAACACTGACTATAGGTACATATGCAAAAGTAATTCCGAAAATGTGTCCTAAGCATTCACAATAGATTCTCAGTTCAATCGTCGAAAGCACAGCGATCCCAAAGTGTGGCAACCCTGATGTGCGGCACGGTCCTCTGACCTGGGTTTGGCCATGCAATGTACAGTTCTGCTGCGAAGGTCTTCTTGCAGTTTTTCTTGATGATGTCTTTTATTTCATCTTCATTCAGTTTGAGATACTTTGCCGGCATCATGCAGATTATTGACAGAGTTGCCTCGTGGTTGAGTACAACATCGGCCTCGGATGATTCAGATTTGCACCTTGCCTCGATTTGGTAATGTAGTCTGGTCATAATAGAAGCTCGTTAGCTTTGTTGAGAAAAATGCAAGCGTTACTTGCCAAAAGTGCAAACCGGTCAATTTAAATATTTAATCTCACCTTGGCGTTTCACGAGTGGTTCTGCAAATGTCGATTTTGCATTTGACATGAGTGAACTTGATTATGGTTCGGTAGAGGGTCTGAAATATAAAAATTGTTTTTGCCAGGTTAGAGTGCACGACAATAGCAAGTGAAACATATTTGAATGTTGGGATTTTTCAAAGCATCATAATATACCTCACGATGTTGTGGTATTGAACTCAAGTCTTCTTTTATCTGAGCAAGTGTTCTTCTTGGGGGGCGAGGGTAGCGTAAGTATCCCATCCTTTCAGCTGTTCCATAGATTATGTACTTGATCGGTTTGCGGCATGGCAGAAACCTGAGTTTTGCAAATAGATGTCTATGTTAGGCTAAGTTGTTGCAATGAAAGCATATTTGAAGTGAACAAATTGTCTTAGAGATTGTTAGGAAATCAATACCTGTTCATGACTCTTTCAGTGGTCTCATTGTATGAACTGATAATCAGACGACTGGCTTGTGTCGATTCCAGCTCATATATACCATCATCGTTGCATGCATGGGGCACGGAGACTACCGATGTAACTGTGGTTATCAGCGGGAGGTGCGACTCTACATCTGCTGCTTGTTGGAGGTAACCAGCGACATCGTAGCCACAGTACTGCACAACAGCCTTGTTCCCACTGTTTTGCAAATGCAAACAAAATATAAATTATTCGCTGTCGAAAGTTTTAACGATCTTAGGTACATAGTTTAGTATACCTGTAGTCTTCAATAACCAGATGGAAATCAAGCATGCCATCTTGGAGGGCATTTGGTAATGTGATTCGCCGTACGCAGCCTGTGACATCTGTAATTGCATAGATGTTATGGGATTTTTAGTGTGTGTTGGTCGTGAAAGTGATGTACATTGTTTTACCTGCGTGGCAGTGGAAACTTTCAAACTTTGCAGGGACCATTGAGAAATGAGAGTTCATGAATGAGTCGAGGGGAAACTTAGGATTGTTCTGGTCTTCTTCGATGTTGTCAATCAGTTGGTCAGAGTTCATGAGCAGCCGCAGTTCTCCTGGGACAATGCGTTTGTTCTTACTCGAGGGGATTGTAACGATAATGCTTAGGCGATACAGACAACCAACTTTGATCCTCGCCATCACGTCATCAATGTCCTTTTCATATGCCAGAGCTTCAATAACTCGTTTCTGCGGGATTAGCAGGTGTAAAAGAATGTTATAGATAAGCAGGTGGTGTTTTTTTTTGCTGGGAAATCGTAAACAGACCTTTTTGTCCATCCAGAGCATGCGCAATGCTGGCGTTTTCCAAACCTTTCCGTCAATGACTTCTGTCCACGTTTTTAGAAGCCGAGCTATCACAGTACGGTTGTTGGTTCCCAACCGCAAACCTCGAAACGTCATCGAAGCACAAATGGGGTCTACAATAGAGAAGAAACACACTAAGTGGAGTCACCATTTATTGTAAGATTTTGCGAATCAATCGAATCCAGTACCAATTTAGACCTACAGAAACACAAACATCGAACCTTGGGGATCGGTGGGGTCCTCGTAATCCCGCGAGGCGACTGGGTTGTCTCGGCGGAAAACTGCCATAGTTCGTGTGTCCGCTGCGATCGTAGTAATCTTTATTAGAGGAATATGATGTTTTCAACTGAGTGGCGTGCTTAGGACCAGATAGTGACATACCTTGGCGCTAGGGTTTTGTGTGTGGTCGAAAGGGGCAGTTTTTACCGCCGATGCCAGCGAAGATATAGAACAATTGTAGTTTAATGGGCGTCTAAAAAAGAGCAAGAGGGACAATCATTCCGTTTTTTCCCCGTAGAGATAATTAAGGGAGAGAGAAAAAATGCCACCATAGAGATAATTGCGAGATAAATAAACGGTTTTGTCCCATCTTTTACGGGAGTTGTTTAAGATGGGTAAGATATTTTTTTTGTAACGAATTGTGATTGGCTGAATCAAGCTGCTGACGTGGAAGAATAAGGAAAGAGTAAATTTGAAATGGTGATGCCTTTTACGGGAAAGTGTATTCTTTAGATTCTTTAGATTAGATTCCAAAACTAAAAGAAAAAGAAAAGAGGAAGTTGATGATAACCATCAACTGTCTCAACTATACAAATGGTTACTCATCGAACTCATATACTCAATCTAATTACAACTTACATCACCTGAAAGCACCATGTCCTTTTTTTGGGTCGAAAATGAGATGTTTACTATTTACTAAGCACCCTAACTCTTATCTATTACATAAGTTGATCCAACTTTAGATAGCCACAATCAATAAAATGTTAACCAAAACTAGTAGAGTGCTCGTTATTTGCAAGATATCCGTAGCATGATTGCATTCTCTTCATGTATGTGAAAGTGAAAGTTTCGAATCATAACCTAATAACTCCTAGTTTTGATGACAACAATATGGTTATGATGTTCATTATTTGTATAGATCTTGTGAACACTCAAGACCATATGATAATCCAACTTAGTTTGAAGTTTCGCGATCCTCGTTATTCATTCCATCTCCATTCCTTCCAAGACTACCCACCATGACTCGACTCGTGTGATAGTACAAGAGATGAGGTTGGGTGTCAATGCAACAACGCATATGGTGTTTCAGTCGCAAATTAGACATCATGTGCTATTACTTTACCATCACTTCGATTATAACCATGACCCTTTTTTTTAACTAATTAGAGAGTCCACGTTACCCTTTTCTTTATCATTACTTTGCACAAATTGATATACTGATGTGAAAACCACAAATTAATATACTTTACCATCCCTAAACCCTAAACCCTAAACCCTGAACCCTAAACCCTGAAACCCTAAACCCTAAAACCATAGACCCTGAACCCTAGACCCTGAAACCTAAACCCTAGACCCTAAAACCTTGAACCCTAAACCCTGAACTCTAAACCCTAAACTCTGAACGCTAAACCCTAAACCCTAATAAAATCATGTTTGCCTTTTTACCTCTAGAGTGAACTTCTTGTTGTTATCCAACTCCACCAAGCAAACGACCCCTTAGTAATGACTAATTAGGATGAAATGAGTTGTTTGCTAGCTCCAGCCAAAATTTTGTTCGAAATGATGACATGATAATACACCATCAACTTGTCAATTTTCCGGTTTATTAATTTCTGTTTACTTTTCACTTGACTTCTATAGCCAAAAGTAATCGGCGAACCTTCAATTTTCACTTGACTTCAATTTTCCTGGTCTAGGTCTCTGAGTGGAGTTGCGGGTGACGATGGTATTCCAGCCTTTTCCCGGCGGCAGCGGCGGCATGGCAAGGTTGCAATGGAAGCTAGGGTTTTGATTTGTCTACTTTGGGCTCTCTGTGTTATGTGTGGCACTTGGGCTTTTCGGGTGGGCTTTTGAATTGCTTATCTGTATTGTTGTTCTCTTCATTTGGGCTTGCCCATACTTTGTACTCCTTCCTGAAACTGATTTCGTCAAAAAAAAAAAAGATAAAAAAAAACAATCTTCCACCTGTCTCCAATCGATGGATCGCCCACTCTCTCTCTCTACTCGTCGGTGTTTAACACGGAACCGCCATCGCCTCTCTCTCTTTCTCTCTCTCTCCCTCTCTCTCTCAGATTGACGACATGCAATGATTCAGGTACTATTCAGTTGATGGGTTATCCAACTTGACCAGATTGGATGTGTCATAATAAAGCAGCGAGGGAACCAATGTAGTTTATCGGGAACCAAGGTAGTTTAGCAGAACAGTCTTTTCCCATTCCCTCCATTCCCTTTCTCTTTGGTGTATAAATGAACAGAGACTTTTCCCATTCCCTTTGCTTTGGGGTATAAATTGATGTACAGCATATTATTCTCATTTCCGCTCCAATTCTCAAAATCACCCCGCTTCCATTCTTCACCTGCAATAGCCTCCTGATGTCGAACTCGAACCCGTCTTCTTCGTGGATCGCCCAATTCAAACCGGGCGACCGGGTCGAGATCAGCTCCGAAGACCCCGGGTTCCGCGGCTCCTGGTTCGCCGGCACCGTCGTCCGCCGCGATGCGAATAACACCAATCGTTACGTAGTCGTGTACGACCAGCTCTACGAGGACGAAACTGGGGACAGGCTGCTGCAAGAAACCCTCGATTGGATCCATTTGCGTCCGCCGCCGCCGCCTCCCGAGAAGAAGGTCCAGTTCAAGTTCGGCGACGAAGTGGAGGCTTTCTACAACGACGGCTGGTGGGAAGGGGCTATTACTGCGGAGCACTCCGGCGGGAAATTCGTGGTGTTCTTGAGAGGCTCAAAGGAGCACATTGTATTTGAAGAGGAATATTTGAGGTTGCCTGTTCAGTGGGTGAAAGGTAAGTGGGAGCCGCGATTCGAACAGGTTCAGCGGGAGGAAGAGGTGAGCTAATTCGATTTTATGACTTTTCCTGCTCCGTTGCTTGGTTTAACAATTTTAGGGAATTTTGAATCTCGATCTAGTTAGGCTGAGGAAAGTAGATAATTGGGTGATCAGAGATGGCATTTGTTATTTTTCACAATGTCTCAACCTCGTTGAATATCTTCATAAACATGCAGATGAAGTTCACTCAAGGAATGCAAGTCGAGGTGACAACTGACGAAGACGGTTTCAAAGGTGCTTGGTTTGCTGCAACAATTATTGAACCTTCGGGTGAAGACAAGTACCTTATTGAGTACAAAACCCTGACGAATGATGATGATACTGAGTTTCTCAGAGAAGACATTCGTGCTTGCAACATAAGGCCTTGTCCGCCGGAGATCATTGCTGTTGATGGATTCAAGGTGATGGATGTAGTAGAGGCTTACTACAACGAGGGCTGGTGGGTTGGCCTGATTGCAAAGGTTTTGAGCAACGGCAATTACCAGGTTTACTTTGTTGAGTATGATGAGAAGACAACGTTCAAGCAGGCTGATTTGAGGCCACATCAGGAGTGGTTAAACGGCAAATGGGTTGTTCCTTAAGAGGTCTGAATTTTATGCTCTCAATCCTAAAAACACTACGAGCCTTTCTTCTTGCATGTGGTGGTGGTGGTTTCTGACTTTCTGTTCTCCGTGTTTGGTTTTTAGGTGTGTTGTGCTTGGAACGGGTGGCGGTGGTTTCTATCGGCGTTGCGGTGGTGGACGGCGACATGATGTGTGCGTGGTGACGTTGTGTCTTTTGTGTGGGCTTAGGGTTTTTGTGTTGTGGGGTTTGGTGGTGACCCGGGGTTGGGGATTGTTTTGTTTTTGTTTTGTTCCCTGTACCTTTAGGTCCGGTTGCAGCAGCGCACGGATCTGGCGGCAGTTGTATTTAGTTGCTGTGCTGCCCTGTTTTTTGTTTCTAATTATTTAATATATATCATCATTAACAAAAAAAAATTTATGGCTGTCAAATATGGTTATGGTCATTTTGGGAGCCAAATATAGCTCCTGTTTTCCTTTGAAAGCCAAATATGGCTGGAGTAAAGTGGCCCAACGCAGACCTTTTTTTCCTCTCTTTCCTTTGTGATTCGTTGTTGTTCTATTTGAATGTATTTTAAATTTAAATGAGAAATCATTCATGTAGTGACGAACTATAAAAAATGAATGACTAATGTTAACGATAACAGGAGAACCATTCTGATTTTCTTTCGGCATGCTACTTGCTCTTCTTATATTTAACTAGCTTTATATACGGCCCGTTGGCCGGATTTATCATAAAATTTTCATGAGTAGTGAATCGTAAAATAAGTTAAGTACCTCGTCCGAGATTATAGTTCAAATTTGTAAACGTTATCGAAATACAACTTTCAAAATTGAGTGACTTTCATTTGATGGGATGAAATACTCCTACTCTTGATCTCCCGATGGTTTTATACTCTAACCTCACTCATTAGGCAAAAGTTTCTTTCACCACAATCTAGTCCATGTTGACATGAGGTGGACGATTACAATCAAAATGAGTTTTATCCTACTCCACCAAGCAAACGACCCCTTAGTAATGACTAATTAGGATGAAATGAGTTGTTTGCTAGCTCGAGCAAAAATTTTGTTCGAAATGATGAGCCAAAACTCAATAAATGAGTTGGGTTGTGTTCGGATCGTATTAGCTCGTTCGTAAAAGAGCCCAGCATGAGTTCGGCTTGGCTCATTAAAATGGACCATATTTCTTTGGAGTGACATGATAATACACCATCTAATTGTCAATTTTCCGGTTTATTAATTTCTGTTTACTTTTCACTTGACTTCTATAGCCAAAAGTAACCGCCAAACGACCCCTTAGTAATGACTAATTAGGGTGAATCTTAGAGCCATTTTTTAAAAGTTTCATTCTCTCCTTTCCCATTTTAATTTCTCACCGTATGAAAAAGGAAAAAGAAATTCGAAAAGTGCAGGAGGGAAAATTTGGAGCCTCTTTTTTCATTTTTCCGTAAAATTTCCCTCTCTCAACGATTTTAGTTTTCCACCCTATGAAAAAAATATAAATATTGCCAACCCAACTTTACCTTTCTGACTTCCTTCTCTTCATTTCGTTCTTTCACCTTGCTTGTTCGTCAACCGGCCGGAGTGGAACCAAACCCTTCCCTGCTTCCCACAATCGTCAATTCGTTCCTTCTCCTTCTCATAATCAGATATTGTATTCTCAGCCAAAGTTCGGGTTGTCGATTTTAGTTTTGGGTTCTCTTCCCATCGACGGCGGCGCTGCTGCATGCGAGTCCTGATGGAGGTATGTTCTAAATTCTCTGTCCTTTCTCTCATTTGTGTTGGTCTATCACTGATTTGGAGTTTTGACAGAATAGCCTTTGTACCAACGCGGAGTGAAGTTCTCGGGTCCTCAATTGTCCATCGATGAGGATGGTAATCAGATCCAATGAATCAAGCGGTCCATTCAATTTTTTTCGTCTCTGCTCTTGATTTGATTATAGGCTCGATGATTTTTGTTTCTGACCTCAATTAATTTCCATTGGCAAGCTGTTCGGATTGTAATCAAAGCGTTCAGAGTGGTTTGAGACCTGTGGCTGTGGTTGTTGCTCGGTTTTGCTCTGTGCTCGGTTTTGACCTCAGGTTCGTTCTTCTGCTTAGTGCTTAGTGTTTAGATCCAAGCTAGATAATTTTCAACCCAGAGTGTTTTGCGTGTGTGCACATGTGGTTGAAGACATTGTATCTGAATATTGGTTACTGACTATAGACCTGTTGTGCAGGCATGTGGAGCTAAATAACATGTTGAAAAGGAGTTGTTAAATGAGACTGATGTTTATGATGTTGTTGCACTTGTTAAGCTAGCTATAAAGGTATCTTGTTCCTCTTATACTTCATAATGTTCAGTTTGTAGTTTATAATTGGTTCAAATCATAATGTCTAAAATGGAATTTTTGGATTTGGCACTCGTTATGTTTCCTTCTTTGGCTAGATGGGCGTGCAGTGGTTTTCCAAGAAGAGGACAGATGGGCCACTCCGCTTATGCACACCGGTATGTTTCAATTATACCCTTTCTTGGTTTGCTAGGTCTTAATGAAAACAAGAATAATGATCTGAACAGAAAAATAATCTTGACCAGCAAAAGTAGAGGCATACATTGTTGATTGGAAAAGCAGTTTAATGAACCTAAAACATGAACAACCATGACCAGAAAGTATGAAAATACCCAACAACACATCATAACGTCCTCCAATCAAATATCCTAACTCATCCATAGAGTATCAAACAAATGGCCAGATTCGAAATGTGTCTCCGGTTATTAGAATCCATGCCAATCTTTTCAACTAGCCTTCTTGCTGCTCCTCAGGCCTTCCCTTCTAGTACATGGCTTCTTCTGCAACATTGAATATACAAAGTTTAGTTCCAACGAAAATTATTGTTCCCCAAAAGTATTCTAGACATAAACAATGAACTTCTAATATTACAGTTGGTGGATCAGGGATGTCGGTTGTATCAACATCCTCTTCAGTATCCTCCTCTGATAACTCTGGACAAGTTCTGGCATTATGAGTATCCTTCCCACATTTACTGCAATGTTTTGGTTTTCGACCAATGTGGGGTGCTTGCTGGTTCCCACTGTTGTTGGCGACGTTTTCACTATTTGGTTCTTCATTATTTGGTACTGTGTGGCCAGCAGCTCCATCATTAGCTTCAGTATCAGTAGGTTCTGGTATTGTAGGCCTCACATAATCAGGAGGCTTCTTACAAGTGCTTTTTTTATGACCCAATACGCCACATCTGCTACACATTCGTTGCTCCCCTTTCTTCCTTTTGTTTTCTTGTCCACCCGAACCTTTGTATTTCACAGGATGTGGATCCAAAAGTTTCTCTTTTGCCTTTGGTCTATTGATATCTGGGATCTCAGTATCACCTTCGTTCATCATGTCTAGCGATTCACATATGAATGCAATTCCTGTACGAGCAAGGTTGAAGCTTTCGCTTGATTTTGCCCCTTTTAACCATAACTGGGAGCTGCTTTGTTGAAGAAGCCCATATCTGAAAACCACAGTCAATATCATTATTCTATTAAAACGTCACGAAAAAGTGAAAGCTTATGTTCTAAAACGGGTCAACGCCCTCTGGTACCACCTTAGTATTTAATAAACACATCTGAACTGCTTTCTTAAACACAGTAACACACAATTTCCAGCTTTATACAGTAACTACGAACCTGAATGTGAATAGTCTAGCCTCGTCCATATTGTGTGGTTGTTGTAAGCTATCAAGTGTCTTCGGCTTCTTTGACCACCTTAACTTTACCAACTGTTCTGGAAGTTCCAGCATACCCTCTTCTTTCAGTAGATGAACCATATGAGCGCATGGTATTCCCATATAGTGGTAATAGTTACAACTACACTCCATAGCGAAGGGCTCAATTGTGTATGTGACCTGAAAAACCTTTTGTTTACCTGACATTGTCACTCTGTAAATGCGTTGGTTTTCCGATATCTCTGAATCCATCCTTACAAAAGCTCCCGACTTTTCAACCTCATCTCTGAATTTGAAAAAGGCTTCTTTTGTGAATAATTTAGACGCACTCTTCTGAAGTGAGACTAATATATTAGACGTTATTGTCCGTTCACGATGGATGGACTCAAAATCAGCTTGTTGCTCCATCTCCCTCATATCCCTAGACCAACGATCAAAATGAATAAAGAACTCAAGTAGATTATGATTGTTTTCGATATACTTGGTAAGCTGAGAGTTCATTCCTTCACATCTAGACGTTGTTGACAAGCCTGCAAAGAACTTTGAGCGCAAGTATGTATACCCCCATTCAGTTCTTTGGTCAAATAGATGTGAAACCCAATTGTTATGCTGCTGTGAGCACTCCTCGACCATTGTTTTCCACTTATCTTCAAATACTGAAGGTTCCCAATCAGCTGACACGAAATGTTTCCATTGTGGCAAGAAGTTAGGATTGTCCCTCACTTTTCTGGCAATAGTTTTGTCTATGTGCCAAGCACATAAACGATGTGTCGCATCGGGGAATACTTGCTGAATCGCGTTGCGCATGGCTTTATCCCCATCTGTGACAACAGTTTTAGGATCTACACCGCCCAACCTTCTCCTCAAGGCATCTAGAACCCATACATAGTTTTCTTCTTTCTCATTTGCCAAAAATGAACATCCAAATATGCAACTGTTGAAGTGGTGGTTCACACCTAAAAAATAAACAGGTTAGTAAAATTACTTCACTAATAAGACAAGAATTACACTATACCCATAACGCATGGAAGTGATATTGCATTAGTCTCTTTAACGTGTGGTATTAAGTTTCAATGAATAAATACTTTATACTTTATAGGAATGAAAATATAAGTTACTAGGAACCGAAAATAAAAGAATTAGTACCTGAAAAAATTACTAGAGGCATATTGTAGACGTTCTTTTTGTAAGTCGCATCAAAAGCCAATAATTCTCCAAAGCATGCATAATCAGCCACTGAAATACTATCTGCCCAGAACAAGTTAACAAGCCTGTCTTCATCGTCTTTTTTTAGCTCAATTACGAACTGTTCATCCGCACTTAGTTTCGCCTGTAGGTAAGCTAGTGCTGTCGCAGCATCACCATCACTAATCTGTTCCTTCCGATCTTTGTCCACGTAATTATACGCATCTTTCCTCGTGAACCCCATCTTGCTATAGCCTCCTGCCTCTGCAACCGCTAGTGAAACAATCTGTGATGTTTTCATTCCTGCAGCTCTCCGGAAATTGATTGCTGCTTTAACTGCATCACTCAACTGTCGATTCCCTTTCATGTAGTGTCGGTATTTTTTTGGAACCGTTACGTGAGAGTGCACGTTATGAAAGGTATCAACAAACCACTTCCCATCTGACTTGTCTAGTCGTACACGAATCCTAGCTTTGCAGTCAAATCTCGTCTCTCCTTTTGGTTCCCTCTTTCGTTCACCCTTTCGGTCGCGCTTTGTTCCTTGACCAGAACATACAAACCGACGCCATATCATGACCTTGTCTTTATCTCGGCCAATATCTTCTTTCCTGACGTCAAAGCCGGTGACCAGCCCATAGTTCCTCCAAAAATCATAGGCTTCTTCAGTGTTAGCGAATCTTAGCTTCTCGATATCTTCTTGCTGTAGAAGTAAGAGATCGTCAATATCATCCTCTTCTACCTCTGAACTTTGGTGAACGTTATGAATAGTTGAACCGTTACTGTTGTTAATATCTTCATTGATTTCCACTTCGACGATTTCATCGTCTTCCATGATCGTCGCGCTTGTGATTGTCCAAGCCAACTAACCCTAAGTAGCCAAAGTAGTACTAAGGAACTAGCCTCTCCGCTGGCGCTTCACTATGAAAAACCTAAAGGATGTTGTATATAAGCTGTGAAATTAAATCCTTGTTTTTAACGGAACAATTTGGGTCAAAACATCCATGGGCTGGACTGAATTCGTTTGGCCTATTTAAATAAAACTAGTGGGCCTAAATAACCTCCTTGGTTCGCATAACCAAGCCTGTCGTCCCTCAAATGGAGGACACCTATTCCAAAAGCATCAATTGCACCAGGTGGCCCCTCCAAAGAAGCACACCTGTCACCAAAAGCATCAATTCATATATGAAAATCCAATCACCATTTACTCTGCCCTTTGTCATTGGTTGTAGGAGATTGTATGTTGATAAGATTTTATCCCCTTACAGCCTATATAAAACGCAGTCCCCTCTTCCTTCAAAATCATGGAAGCAGCAAATGAAACTTGAAATTCCTTAAAGTTCTTCCTCCAACCTTATTTGCATCAAGTTACGGTAATGAGGAGAACTCCAAGTGGCTAAAGAGTTTCCCAACATTCAATCATGTTTGTGAGTTTGCCATGTATAGATGGGAAACTCTTTGGCCATTTGGATGTTTTTCTCATTGCATTGTAAGAAGTTATTATTTGTACAGGAGGTTGAGAATGTGGATCCGGGATTTCTTCTTTGTTCTTGAGTTTGAGTCTTTGTCTTCGTTTTTCATTTTTATATTTCCTGTGTTCAATTACATTTCCGCTACTGCCTTGTGTTCTTATTCATACTCCGTTCTTGTGTTTATATTTCTGGGTTTCACTGCTTACTCTGTTTTCCGGTTTTGGAACGAAGAAAGAAACAGAGCTTTGGTGCTCTGCCGCGGGAAGCCTAGATCACTCTTAATTGATTGGTTGAAAATGGGCCAAACGTGAATTCATAAACTGGCGGAGCCACAACCAACCAAGGGAGGTTAAACTGGCATCGTCTTCTTCCCTTCTTCCATCTGCTTTCGTGGTCTTGTCTTTTCGAACCTTAAAACCCTAAAATGAAGCCCCTAATCGGTTTAATGAGGTGGATAAATATAGAAGTTCACACGTAACTAGTTAATTCCTTATTAAGTTCATTTAATGAGGTGGATAAATATAGAAGTTCCCACATATAAAAAAACTCTAATTGATATCTCACGGGTTTTCCTAATACACGAGGTTAAACACCCCTCTGGCGCATCTATTAATATGGCCAAACATCTTGCCCAAAACTCAATTCAACTAAAAGTAGCGCAGAGGCCCTTTGGTCAACATTGTGTCTGTAACATTATGGGGAAGGAAGGGTAAGTTCTGCAATCCGCTAATGTGTTTTCTTTAACTTTTTAGTCAGCTATTTCGTTGTATTTGTTCTTATATTCCACTCTCTCGTTGCTTTTTTGTACAATTATATTAGGGAGAAGAACAAGATGACGAGCGGCCAGTCTACTGTACGCCTAACGCGTTCTCTAGCCAAGTCTATGGTTCGTCCAGGAGCTTTAACAGTAGATTATTTATACAAAACTTATTCTGACTTGATTGTTCATTATTGTAGGAATTGGAGAACTATGTATCTCCTGCAAAGAAAACAAGAATGCAAGACGTCACCCCCCCCACCTACACCCGACTTGAAGGTGATTGTTCTTGATGCTGAACCAGGGCTGGACCATGATGAGCTAGGTGTGCAAAACAAACCCCTCACGCCTCCACAAAAATTGTCAATGAAGGTATGTAATCCTAGTGATGTACATATGCTTCCTTTCCGCCCACTATTTTCGTTGTTTTCCTTCGTTCCTTTCTCCGCCACTTGACTTCTATTTCTTCTTTAATTAATTATATATTTTCATTTAAAATGTAAAACCTAAAACTCAAGAAAACCTCTTCTTATTTCCTCTATTTGTTCGTTCTCCATGATTGAAGGGTACCACAAGGTTTGAGCTCCCTACAGCCGTCAACTACAGTGACGAAGAAGTGAGTTTTGCTCACTATATATTTGCAGAAGACCTTCATCCTGATGAAGCTTTGGTCAAAACAATGATGAAATCATATACCAGGCAGACATTATGGAGCTTATGCCCCGAGTCAAACGTTGATGCTGATGTAAGTACTTCTGCGAAACGCCCCTAGTTGACCTGAACGTGCTTAACGATTTTTAATCATTGGATTTTATTTCTATTGTGTTTTAGGTAATTACAGCGTTAGCATGCCACTTGACCTTGGACGAAGTTAAAAGAGATACTGGTCGTGGAAGAGGAGTGTGCTTTCTGCCTACGGAATTGCAGGTAAGTGTTGCTTTTGCTTTGTAATTCTATTTCAGTTTACACAGGGTTGGTTGTTTATTAAGTAAGATTAGTGTTCAATGATTTAACTTCATTTTCCTACCAGGATATGGTGGTTAATTATGGCATGACATCTGCAAAGGCATTAGAGTTATATGATACAAAATTCCTATCAAAAGCTCATAACTGTAGAAAGGTTATGACTTCTCCACAATTCTTCCTTCTCATTTCTGCTTATTTAGTTGCGGTTTTCACAACATATGTGCGCGTGAATTATGCCTACCCTTCTGCTTAATTTCTTGAATGAATTATGTAGGAAAACTAATTAGTTAATTGGATTGTTTTCTCGTACCTGTGAAGGTTTGTCTTCCCATGAAAGATATGATGAATGATGAAGGCATCCACTGGTATTTAGCTATAATTTTGATGGACCAGAAACAAGTACACATTCTGGATTCATGCCCATCAAAAGAGCGCCAAACAATCCGTACGAATGCAGTTCACACAATGGTATAGTTAAAATTTGTGCCATTGAATACATACTTCAATACACGTGTTTGTAATTCAATTATGTGGCATTATATTTTCCAACACAATTTTGTAATTCATAGGTTACTTCTTGAACGTTGTAGATCGAATTTCTGAACGACTTGTTCGATGCCTTACACAAGGATGTTCAATCAACATGTGCACCACCACAGATCAAGGAGTTTACTTTGACCACTCCTGAAGTTCCTACACAACGACACAAGTAAGAATGTATATTTGGTCATAATTTCACTAGAAAAATAAAATATTTGTGTCTTACGTAATGCATCTTTCTAAACAGGAATGATAGTGGGATCTGGGTTTGTGTGTGGATGATGGGATCAACTTGGGATGATGACTATTATATTTGGGTAAGAAATCACCTACTACCTAGGCCCATTTATTTCTACGAGCACATTAAAAAACTATGTCAACTATTGTATTAATACGTTATATTTTCTGTCCTTACAGCCATGCAATCATTTGAGAAGAATGCAGGTGGCATTGTACCTAGTCAAAGAGCCTACCAATTACATAAGACACAAGGTGCTCAAGAAAGCAAATCAGAATGCGCCTAGGTTTGAAGCTCAGACACTTGAGTACAAAATAGCTTCCCAAGAGAGGAAAGCAGGTTCCCAGAAGAGGCTAATTCAGGAAAGCAGCTTCCCAGAAGAGGCGAATTCAGGGCTCAAGGATATCTAGTCGCATAGTGTGTTCTGCTAAAACATTTTAGCATTTAGTTTTGTTTCTTCCTTTCCAACGAATGCCCTCTTTATGGTAACGATTTAAGGACACGTTTATTATTTGGCGGATAGATTGCAAGTTTTGGTGTGCTTTTTTATTTATTAGAGGGAGGCTAGGAAATCAACCGAATAAACACAAGTACACAGCCAGAGGCTAGTTTTCCAAACAGAAATGGAACCGCTACAGTAATCTCACATTGCAGACAGATAGCCAAAATAGCAGCAACAGAAACAGCCACCTCTGAGATTCGCATAAAAACTAATAGAGATAAACTGGCCAGATTACTTGCCTCGGGAAACTTATTCCCATCACGTCTTCACGAAGTAACCCATCGAAATTTGCTGGAGGATCGTCCAACAACCAGCCCAATCAAGTGGACCTTTAAACCATTTTTCAATAAAGATGGAAGAACCCGAAACATGATTAAAAGCATCACTAGTGAAATGAAAGAGGTCACATATCGTCCATTCAAATAATTTTTGTCTGAGCTCAACCAAACTTGAGTTGCTCCCCCTATAAATGTAATCACCCTCTTGTTTCTTCATATCTTCTTCAGACAACTTATCAACTGTGCTAAACATGAAACTATCAAGATCGACTTCCTTGTTCATCGGATCCATTCTGACCTGGAAAAAGAAAACCACCAAACAAGCTCCTCAACAGATCATGTCAAAGACTACTGAAAGAATGGACCAAAAACACACATGATCCTGGAAAGGGACATCTTAAGCACCTAATTCCTATACACATTAACTCGGTTTATCATCAATGCATAAAACCGTCACCACAATTCGTCAAAACCCTTACCTTGTCAAAGTTAACCACGAAGATAGAAGCAGGACTGGGCCTGTCGGGGTCTCTGTTTAGTTCGAACCCCACGGTTTCAGTGTAAAAAAATGTAGGAATAGAATTTTTGAAATACATACTCCACAGCTGTAGCCTCCGCTTCAAACAACGAGACCTCTCTTCCCAAATCAGTCTACAATACACCTCATCCATATCAGAGATCCATCCAAAATCACAGCATTGTAGTTCGAAAATCAATTTCGGCAATTTCAATTCAAAATCCCTTTCTTACCTCCCTAGCAGATCCTGAAGGAACCATGGCCTCTTTCATTGCCTCCTCCAGTGCAATCATCTCCACCTGCCCAGCTGTTTGCACAAGTGAATTACTCATACAAGCAACAATTAGTTTTCATTCAAAGGGATGGGGGTGCTTATGCTTGCACAGCTTGACGCCAAGATTACCTGCGATATTCGGCCAGTTTAGGGTTCAAACAATCGATTGGGAGGAATCATAGGACAGGTGGGAAATATAACAGTCGAGAACGGGAAAACGAAGAAGAATAAGAGGGGGAAACAGAGTGGTTCAATTATCGCTGCCATTTTCTGAGGCGGCTGGGATGATTTACAAGAGTAGGGAGGAAGAACAGGGTTATTCCCAATTCGAACAGAAAAATGGAGAAGAGAGAAGGTCCAAGGTCGGGATTTGGAGGAGAGGGGTAGGGCTGCGGGTGGGGCAAGGTAGGTGTCCTTTCTCTTAGGGTGGTTGGATTTTGGGTCAATTCAATAACTAAACAGAACCAACCCGATTTGGTTTACAATGGACTAAAATGAAAGAAAAACTAATTCTATGAGTTGATCTGTAATTTTATTTAATATAAATTCCGAAAAAATAAATCATTTAATAAAATTTAATCTCAGCCGTCGAGATCACACGTACGGTCAAGATCACCCAAGGTACGCCATACCCCGGAATTTACCCGGGGTACGATAGAAGCCACCATATATATATATATATATATATATATATATATATATATATATATATATATATATATATATGGCAAAGGCTAGCGTACATCAGTCGTACGCTGTACACCTGTGTTCACACTTGGTTATTGCACTTCAATATATTTCGCTGAATCAGAACCTTCGGTTATTATTTTTTAGATTAAATGAATCTCGTGGCTTGTGTTAGAGAATTAGGGACTGGGGTTTATCCATTAGAGGTTAGGGTATATTATCATGCACAAAATTTTGGTTAATTCCTGCTCTAAATAGTAAAACTCGACGGGCGTACAATGTACGACTGACGTACGCTAGCCTGAACCATATATATATATATATATATATATATATATATATATATCTCCCTAGTAGACTAATCGTAGTTACTTAATTTTTTAGTAAAACCACTATGATTTGATTTGCTTAAATGAATAATAAAGTGCAGAATAAAATTTTCTCATAAAATAATACATTATTTGTAAAACTACATTTTTAACTGCAGCACATTAAAAACCTAAAGTGCCATCGACTTTTTTTTTGTACCGCATGATACGGAGAAAAGAAACCACCAATTTACTGTGATTGGCTGGAGGGTTGTAAAAAAAAAAAAAACAATTCTGAATTCTCTGATCGGAAAAATCTAAGGGTAGTAAAAAAAAGTACATCTAGTCAGAGAAGTGAGAACCATTCAGCTTACATCACCCTCTTCCTCTCTGACCTTTTCTCTCTCTTCGCTAAACCTAATAGCCGCCTCCTCTCTTCCCCCCACCCAAAAAAAAAAAAAAAAAAAACTCCACCTTCTCCCTCGCATCTCTCCGCCCGCCGCCTTCTCCCTGGCATCTCTCCGGCCGCCGCCGGTAACATCTCCTCGCCGCATCCTCATGTCTCAATCCATCTCTCATACTCCCCAGAAACATGCCCTCCTCCTCTTTACAGACGTGGCCGAACTCCACAGCCCTCTAGCTCCTCTGTTTTTTTTTTTTTTGTTCTGGGGTAAGTTTCTCTATATATGTGTGGGATAATCATACATTATCTCTTCTTCTTAAGGTTGGTTTGAGTTAATTATAAGCAAAGTTACAAGCTTTATTGGTTCTACAGTCAGATCTGTCCTATGGTTAGGATTACCATTGATGTTGTTCTTGTTCTTGTTCTTGTTTCAATCTAGTGTGCTCGAGGATAAACCTTTGGTGTTTCCGCTCTCCCAATTTCTCTGTGTGCTTGAGGCTTCCTAGATCTTATATAGAAGGCAAACGGTGAAAACCCATGGGGAATCTTACTGTTATCCTCTGGAATTCCAGTTTTGATCCAGTCAATTCGTGAAGATACCCAAAGGCTCAGGGTGTTAAAACATTATTTTCAGTGTAGCTGATTCTTTTCACATTTGATACAATCTTGAGAGATGTATTTGGTATAGATTTATTGTGGATATAACCTCCTATAGCTTTGCATGAGCAATTGGTCTTTTTTCTGTCCATTCTCGGTCACTCAAATATTTGGAAGCTTTCCTCTGTAGTGAATTTGAATAGTGCATCCGTTTGTAGAAGCATAGCTGGGTGCTGGATCCTGAGTAATCTTGTAAAGTTATTTATGTAATGTTCCAAAGTGAATTTAGCTGATAGTAGCCTTGGTTGTTTGGCAGCCGGAAACTGCAAGGGATTCTCCTCAAGCTTCTGGCTTCCCTGCTGATAGTGCAGTATTGACAGGTGATGCATGTGGACCGATTGCAGAATGAATGAAGGAATCGACGTTACTACTCGTCATTTCAACGCGCGGCGGGATGCCTTTGATACTCTGAAGCAAAAACATGAATACAAGTTACATTCTGTAGCATGTCCACTTACGAAATTTATGGTAAGCAGTATTTGATACCTCTGTCTCCCTTTGTAGTGGATAAAGTACCTAAATCTGACCCATGTAATTGTCTGCCATTGCATCTATACTTTGTTGTTTTAACTTGGAATTACTGAATGCCATAGTGAGAGTAATATTTAGTTTAAATTGTTGACTTGACAAAAGGATGGTGCTGCACAGTTGTTTATGGACATTGGACTGTCACTGATTCCGAATGTTTGTCCAAGATCGGCATCTGGAGTATGTCTTCAACTAACAATGAAAACGGATAACTGAAACATTCTACTAGAGAATGTTGCAAGATACACACTGGTTGCTATTTGCTAAGATAGAGTGTAGATTATAAGTACCTTGAAGATTTCGGCATTTGGCCAAAATGTTTTTCGTGTAACATCAGTAAAAACATCAGCTTGGCACGATTTATATACAACTTCTTGTTGTAAAGTGATAAATTGTCTAGATATGATAACATCACCGAGAAGTTGGGTGTTTCAAGAAAAGATTTGGGTCTCATTCTTTATGTTCTCCAATTCCCTTGCTGACATGCTTTCTTTCATGTGCAGATTCTCATTCTAGACTTGGTGCTTAAGCTACTGCATGAAAATTCTGAAGAGCCTCAGACAGCTCGGATACTGCTTTACAAGTTATTCTATGATCGTACTGATCAAGGGGATGACCCAATTCATCTTGAACCTGATTAAATCGTTCAACACCCATAAGCAATCCAAAAGGTGCTTCTTCTCCCACACAATTAATTAACTTCAACCCCACAGTGCATGTTTAAATGTATTATTATCCTTTCTTTACTCTGCATGCATTTCATGATTCTGGTACTCCTTTACTTGGAAACTATAAGGCATTCAACTTGAGAAGAAGAAAAGAACTTGCACGTGCTGAGGAAGATGCCAAAACACCGAAGAACAAGACTGATCTAATTAGTTCGGAGGAGAAAAAGATGAGGAGGATAGAACTGAAGGGGGTTATGAACAGAGTGATCAGGGGAGTAGTGAAGAAGAATATGAGGAGGAAGAAGAAGAAATAGAGGAGATGCAGTTGGATTTTATGTCAGAAAGAAAATCAAAAGAAGGTGGACTCAGTTACTATCCTCTACAATCCAGCTGAGGAAGATGTCCAAACTCGGAAAATGACTAGAATCAGATTGTAGTCTATGAGACAGAAGATCAATGGTAACATATTTTGAACCCAGTTCTCTCCTCTTCTCCATTTCCCCTCTACATTTTCCTCTTCTGCTTTAGTATTTCCCAATTCTGCTCTTTGATTTTTCAGGTGAATTGGAAGACAAAGATGAGGGCTTAGCTTAGGTATCCACAAGAAGATGATGAAAAGTGTGTTCCAGCCAGTGGTGAAAGGTGAATAGGAGGAAGAAGAAGAAACAGAGGAGGTGATGGTCAAGTCTAAGTCAGTAGAATGCAGCAGCAAGAATCTCACAAGAAAGATGAATCAGGTACAACGATTCAAGCCTTATAGCGCTAACATGCTTAGAGATGGAAACGGTATAGCGATGTAAACCCTAGATTAGAGAATCCTATTCAATCCAGCTTAGGAAAAATCCAACAATTGGAAAGAACAGGAGTCAGTTTGTGGTTCACAGGCAGACCATCAATAAGAAGGGGAGTGAAGAAAACTAAATCGAGAGATCTGCACTCCACAGAGTTTAGGGTTTTAATTACCTGATGCTTGGTAAACTACTTATGGATTTGCTTCCGACCTAGTATTCATTCACCTAGCGACTTCAGGGTACTAGGAGGGAAACTGGGAAAGTAAGTCTAGATATCATCAAATGACAAAAGCATGAGACAGAAGCAATCACATACCCTTCCAATCCCAGCAAGTAGTTTGTAGATATTACTGTTAAGAGATTCTTCCTCTCTTCATCTACCAAAATGAGACATCAAGTAGCCACATAAACAGTCTTCCCAAAAAACATCTTCACTGGTATAGTTTTTGCTTGAGCTTGTCAAGCCTAAGGTATTATTAACATTTCCACCCTGTTCTGTCCTCTTTCTCGAACTCTTGGACTTTGTCTCCACTGTAATTCCTGCATGCAGATTCAGCAGAACACATTATAGTGAGTTGTTTGTATGAAACCGATCCCTCCATGCTCCCCATCAGATCAACTCAACAGTGTTCGAATCATCATGGTAATGTCTTTGTCCATTTACCCCCTCGCCTAGTTGCTTTGTGTGCTCGAGGGTTCTGATTCATGTTTTCACCTCATTTCAGCTTCTTTGTTCATATTGTTTTTTCAGGTGAATGAGAAAACGAGGATGAGTGTTTTCGCTGAGGTACTGAAGCATTCACTCTATCCTAGCAAACTTCAACGACGGTACTGGTCTTTCATGTGTAGGCATGTGTAGGATAAAGATGATGAAAAAGAGGTCAAAATGCGGGAAACACTTTGATTCAGATTGTTTTTGTCAGATCAATTATTCGAATATAGCATATGCAATATTAATTACTAGAAATACGTTGGCAGTCGGCAGATATTACCTCACTGATTCGCATCATCTTCCGCCTGGTTGGCCGCCTGAGCTGCCGCCGCCTGAGCTTCCGCCGCCTGAGCTTCCGCGCCTGAGCTGCCGCCATTTCCGCAGCCAACGCCTCACTACAAGAAATCACCGGCCCAATGTCAATTAATTGGAAAAAGCTATTCAACCGCCGCTTGAATCTAGATCTCGCATAAACAATCAAAAAATTAAAGCTAACCCACCGTTCTCTTCGTTGCTCCTCTTCAATCCTCACTCCCGCTCTAACGTTTTTCTCGTCAAGTTTCCTATTGCGGTTAGCTGCAATTTGGGCCGCTTTCTTCTCATCTTTTTGAATGTTATGGCCCTTCTGCCTCTTGCTAAAACCAACCATTGTAATTTGCAATAGAGCTAGGGTTCTACAGTGACGAAAAGAGAATGGTAGGGTTTTTGCCTTTGGGCAGGAAGGTCTGTAATGGTTAGGATATAATGAGTGACCACGGTTGCTTTTCTATGTGGTCAAATTGAAAGTTTAGTCACTGAGATTACTAAATCGTTTCATGTTCGTCACTTAAATTCCTACTATTATATATTAGTTGTCACCCATGTTTCAGAATCGGACCGGATGCTGAACCGGAAAAGTTAGTAGTTTAGGGTTCAGTAGTTAATCATTACAAAACTGTTGATAGAACCGTTCATGATATACAGCATACAAGACTTTAATAATAGCTAATTTAAGAATAAAGTTATCATTGACCATAAACAATTTTAAATTTATACATCACCAAAATATCTAAAAAAATCATTCAAACCTTCTCACAAAAGAATTCATTATTTTTTTAATTCAAGTTAAAAGTTACGTACCAGTCGGTAGTGGACCACCTAAAGTCGACAAGGCGAAAACATATAATTATAAGCTCACAACGAAGTTGGAATATGAGAAGAGGAAGCAGAAATAAAATTAATAATTCTGGTTTGATGGTTTTAGTTTACGTTATTGTATATTTTAAATAAAAATTATGGTAAAGATAGTGAACTAACCTGATCAATGGCTGTTCAGTAGAACCGCCAGACTAGTTACGGTACTGCTTTGGTTCATTGTTTGAACGGTTATTGATGGACCAAATGACTTTTCACGGTTCAACATAAAACCAGATGAATAACCACGGTTTAACTGGTCCACTACTACACTACTTTAACCACAATATATTTTTTAAAATACTTTACATAATTTTTTTTAACATAAACTAAGACCATCAAACCATAATTATTAATTTTATATTTGCTTCCTCTTCTCATTTTTCAACCTTGTTATCGACTTTACGTGGTCCACTATCGACTAGCACCGTAATCTTAAATTTGAATTAAAAAAATGATGATTTCTTTTGTGAGACGGTTTGAATGATTTATTATATATTTTGGTGATGATATGAATTTGAAATTTTTTATGGTCAATGATAACTTCATTCTTAAATTAGTGTAATATACAAGTCTTATATGTTACATATCATGAACTGTTCTATCAACGGTTAACCACTGAACCTTGAACCACTAACTTTTCCTATTCAGCCTTCGGTCCGGTTCTAGAAACATAGGTTAGTACTCTAGGTCATCAACAATATCAATAAAACATAGCTAAAAACAACCTAATTAAAGACACGAACCAACTCATCACCCGCACACAAACCAAACCTAGGGATGACAAAGGGTCGGATCGGAGTCGGATAGTGCATGTGCATTACCCTACCCGAAATAGTTCAACCTATTACCAATACCATATAAGAATCAGGTAGAATATAGAAACCATATCTATACCCTATCGGCTTTCGAATATCCATGATTATCCATGGATAATAATTTTTATATATAACTTCAGCCAATATGTTAACAATTACAAATATACTGATATTACATAAGCGACAAAGTACAACAATAAAATTTTGCTCTTTGTTTCCTGTTATGGTGATGAGGTTTGATTTTCGCTCATGGGCGACGAATGTTGTTTGAACATTCTATCTTTATTCCTTGATTAATGCAACTGAGCTATTTTTTTTTTAAGATTGATGCATCAGCTTTCTAATGGTCAAACATCACAATTGACTTTCGTGTAGGACATATATGACGAAATTGAACGACTGTTGACTAAAAATTACATGAAGTATAAAAGTTAGTAACGAATAAGAAATAATTTTATTTATTGGCAAACATGAAACATATTGATAAACCGAGTGACCAAACATACAATTCGCCCAGTATAGTTGAAACTTTTGACTTAATTTAATTATGAATATATTCAAAACAAAATTTGAAAATTCAATTCAATTTATATCTAAAAAATTTGAATATGATATTTCAAACGTAAGAATTCATTTGACAAATAATTTAACATAGAAAATTCATTCTACTGAATTCATTTTTCTTTCGAACCAACAACAACAAAAAAAAAAAAAACTTTATTTCTTTATGGTTACAACTTACAAGAGTAAGTGCTCTTCGTATAAAGAGAATAAAAAAACCCAATGAATCTCAAAGATCACCAATCAATTAGCTTTGTTCACCTTAGCTGTTTGTACCACATGAAAAATTCAACCTCCTTGTATTCATCACCCTTAGGGCAGGGCAAAGAAGTCGAAATAGTACGATCTCTGTAGTCAAACATGTACAACTCCGTGCCCTTGTTTTCCAAGAAGTAGATACAATTCCTCTGAACTCCAGATTTGCTAGCACAACACGGATAACAGCCCATGTTACCCCAGAAGAAAGCTTGATCACCCAAATCTTCCACCATTCTCCATTTCATCATCTCCCAATCCATTTCGAACACTTTGACGTCTACAAGAATGCCCTCGATCCCATTCGCTCGAGCAACACAGTATCCGTTCCGATAGAACCTGACAAAGAGTAATACTTCGCCACAAGACTCTACCAACGTACACTTAAACGTACTGTCGCCCGGGCTTCGATCGAATGGGAACCCAACCGTTGTCATTTCTCGAATATCGCATCTATCCGGTAGTAATTCCGCCATGGCGAGATGGAGGGCCGGATCTAACACATAAATATTCCCTCGATGCACAACAACTCCACAAGTCGACTTGATTTCGTGCTTGCCTGAGATTTTGTGTACTGCCCATGCGTCGTCACCTTCTTGCCATACCATAGCAACATCCTCCTCCTCATCCGCTACTTCCCCTGCCTCATCGTTTCGTGTAACGCAGCCAAAAGCCATCACAAGCAATTTGGAACCGTCGCCGGGAGGTAAACGAAGCACAGCGTGGCAAACCCGGAAGTTGGCTTCCCACGTCGGCAATGTAGTCTCAATCATGGACATCGGATCTAACAAAGAACACGTACTTCCGTTCAATAAGGCCAGCATTCCGTAATCGCTGCAGAGTACCAACCTGTCCCCAATTCTCGCAGCTAGTTCCACTTCTCTCCCATGGTCGACGATTGGCTCCTTGCCTAAGTTGACCAGCAGATCACTACCTTCTCCGCCGGTGAAAACAAAACACGGCTGCCCTGCTCGTGCTTCTTGCATCGCCATCTCCCTCGAACCACCACCGACACCTTCGTGCGGCTGCAAGAAAGTCAAGTTCCTGATGACAGAGTGTGGATGTACGGGACTTTTTCGAGCTATCGACTGTCTTCGATGATGGAGTTTGGATGACCAAAGTGGCCGTGGGCCGTAAGAAACAGAGAAAGTAGGGATCACCCAAGCACTCCCCAACAACAGCTTTGTATCGTACAAGTCATGGGAAGTGTAGTCGCCTCTGAATGAGCGGAACTGCTCCGTCGATACGGAGTAAACTACATGGTGGTGATCATCATTCTGATGAAGCCTCGGGAAGTGGACGGTGTTCGCTAAACCTTTCGATTTCAGGTCGTCGTTACATGTTAAGGCTATACACCCGGCAAAGCTCAACAAGACCGTCTGATCTTCGAGGGAATGAACAACCCGCCACACTTTCCTCTGCCCGCAGAATTTGAAGATTCTTACGTATTCTCCCATGGGAGCGACTACGATCGACATCAACTCTTCTCCCTTGCAGTACTCTACAAGATAAGCCTGATTGCGTGTGTCATCCATGAACAAATCGGCCCTTTTCGTTTTATCGAATAGCCTCCACATTTTGTTTTCCCTTTTCGCCTTGGGACGGAAAACTCCCAGCCTCCCATCTCGAGCCAAACAGTAGAAGCCATCTCTGTAGTAAACAGGGGAGCAAGAAGAATCGGACCACAAGAAATTGCCCGCGCAGGAGCGTCTCTGAACGTTCACTATGCAGGCATTGGGTTTAACTCTGATCCTCCTGATGTTGTCCGAACTCAACGTTTCGGGGAAGTAGTTGTACAATCTCATCCGGTTCGGAACATGAGAATGGTGCTTCCATGAACGCTGTCCTCGCCGGACGACGGAGAAACACGAATTCTCCTTGGTTTTCGAATCCCTCACACCGAAAACCACGCAATCCGGAGACACAGGCGTGGTCGAGAAGCTCATGGACTGAAACGGGACCTCTCTATCGGAACCTGCAACCGGCAATGTAATGATGTGTTCGGTGGAGGGATGGTAGAAGAACGCTCGTCGACCTATGGCCAACAACAGCCAGCCGTAATTCGAGCAGAAAACGTGCGCGTCCACGAGCCGGGACGGTGCACGAACATGGTACGTTTTGTCGTAAGCAGCCGAGTAAGCCTTGCAGCAGGAGTACGACCTGTCGACACCATTGTCACAAAAACGTACCAAGAACGGATACTTGATATTCTCGTAGACCGAAGGATCGAAATCAGCTGCGAAGTTCCAGCCACGACAGGTAGCTCTGAAATTGAAGTAATCCTCCCGTAATAGCTTTTGCCGAACCAAGTTGAGAATCTCAGTGGGGAGATTAGCCCACGACATTGTGATTTGTAAGCTTTGATAGCATATGGAAAAAAAGACTTTGGACGCTCATATAATTATAGAGAGAAATAGTATTATATATATATAAAAAAAAACTAGGCTCCTTATCGGATTTGGAATGGGTATACGGTAAGGAAAAGGCCAAAAAAGGGTTACCATGAGAAGTAAGTTCTTTCCGTTTTCCTCATAGGAGAGGTAAACGCCGTTCATGAAAGCTGCGATTGTATTTCCCGCCCTTATTGTATTTTATTGTATGTTATGTAACCATGTAATGCTTATTGTATTTTACGTAATGCGACCTATAAAAACTGCTATAACAGGTAAAAAAAATTCAAGTTACCTAACTTTAAATTACCGTAGGAAATCCCTGAAATCATTATCATCTACATGATTCTCGTCCGAAAGTTCTAACAAATAATTCGAACTGTATCACAAATAGATCATAAAAAAGTTAGGAATCAAAGAATTTAAGCCAAAATATTAAATGAAAATAAATCATTTTTTCATTCCCTAGGAAGTTTATATTTTTCCCCGATATAGAAACTAAATTAGCAATTAGAGCGACCGTAGGTCGGTAGTGCACCATACAAACCTGGTAGGAGGTTGGGAAATAAAAAAGAGTATAATTTTTTTCCTTAAACTTTGTTTTTTGTTAAAACAATTAACTAAAGGACTAGTCAAACTGATGTATGGTTTAACACCTTGTCGTTAAAATTTGTTTGGTCCATCCCCGAGAATCTAAGATAATGGATCGACCATTATTTTAACTGGTTTGGTGATTCTATTTGTCGACGACTGTAAGTTCGATCCAATTCTGGTAACAAGACATACAATCAAAGTTGCATTCTCATTTTTGCAAAATCAAACAACAAACACAGTTTCAGAAAATACATACGAATGACTGGAGAACGCAAATTAAAAATAAAAAAAATAAATATCAGAACAACCAAAACCTTAACTAAGCCAAACAGCTAGAACTTTGCAAAACTCGAGAGGAAGATAGCGAAATTGAGACACACTCCATTTCTTCTCAGCAACCAAACAATCATTCACAATAAACATAATGGCAACGAATGTTTGGAACATAATAATAAAACCGTTACATAAGTATCACTATTAGGGTTATTGATGAGTTTAATTTTTCCTTGATCAGTTTGACTCGTTAATAAACGAGGCGAATTATTAAATTATTTGAATCTAGTTGAATTCGAGCTGACTCATTTATTAAAACCTACTTAACTCATTATTAAGATATGGACTTCTGCTCGAACTCAACTGTATGTTAATTTATAAATTAAGCTCTAATATTTATATGTCATATATGATACATGTGGTTAACTGATCCCTTGTCATATATGATATATATTTGCTCACATACTCAAAATCTTAAACATGTGAAACATAGAATTTAATAAACCTATGAATGAATGACAAGCCAACTCATAAGAAATAGATTGATTTTCTCATAATTAAGCTGGTAGTGGAGTTGGCTGACTAATCACAATGTTGAGGCATCTTATGAGCTCACAACATGAGAGTTCCTATTGAGCTCAATAAGTCACCTAGCCGAAGTGGCTCACGAGCCGAACAAAACTTAGCTCAAGCTTGACTCGTTAATAGACAAAAACCTCGCTGGCTACTTGTACCACACAAAAACCTCGGGCTCTAGGTAATCAACATCAACGCTAGGGCAAAGCAAAGACGACACGGAAATAGTACGATCTCGATAGTCAAATGTATATAACTCCGTCCCTGCTCTCCTTTCTAAAAAATAAATGGCGTTGTTCTTCAATCCCAATTTGCCAGTACAACAACCCGGATAACATGCCGAGTCGCTCCAGAAGAAAGCTCGATCACCCAAGTCTTCCACCCTTCTCCATTTCATCATCTTCCAGTCCATCTTGAACACCTCTACCGATTTAAATGGATTGGATTAGGTGGATAATTTGATGGATGGATTGAATTCATGGATTTGAATTCTAATTCCCACCTCTACCGGTTACCATGAGAAAAGTGGTCTTTCCGTTTTCCGAGAGGTAAAGGGAAATCTGTTCATGAAAGCTGCGGATCGTATTTCCCGCCATTGTCTCTGGCGCCCAAAAGGCCTTCTCTGACCATTTTGTATTTCCCGCTCCAGAATGGCAACGAAGGAGCTCTCCCGGAGACGTGTGCCACTGGCAAATACGCATGTCAACATTGCCTTCCTCAACAAGTTTGGCATCGGTAAGACCCCCGAGCTTAACCTGACAGGCCACTGAAACCCGGCTTCCAACGGCTGCCAGTGGTATGTTCCGCAGGATGTGCTGACATCTCAGATTCTTCCACTGATCAAGAAGTCACCCAAGAATGGAGGGGTTGTGCTTTGGTCTATGTATTGGGATCACCAGAATGGGTATACTTCATCCATTCAGAAAAGTGTATGAGAAATGAGAAAACTTTCCACATTGGGAATCCTTGTAAAACAAGGAATAATAAAGCAAACATGGGTACATTATGCTTTTGATTTGAACAGACACTAGTTTCTTCAAATACATGCTACAAAATGCTTGATACAAATCAAAACAGAATTCAGTGAAAACAAAGCTACAGATTCATCTAAAATTGCACATGAGTGAGAAAATGATTTTGATGATTGTTATCCTTGTTGTGTATACTATACTTCGCGGACCTGGATATTATGAGTCGACTGGAATCGCCAGATGGGTTGCTTGCCACTTTGAACCAGAGCAACCTCTTCTCCTTCCTTGACCATTCCTTGATCCTGCACAAGAAAAATTCAGAATGGGTATAAGCAAACCCAAGAACTCGAGTATGGGGTTGGCAGGTAACCCAGCACGATTACGTTATTATGAATTGAACGGCCAAAACGAAGCTCAGTTTATGTTAGGAAAGCTTGCCTTTAGTAGTTTCAAGGCATCGGCAAAGGTTTCTTCAGCATCATCGGAGAATTCAAGGTAAATGGGACATACTCCTTGATAGGCTGCCAACCTCTGTTGTATCCTTTTCCTGAACGGCCATTTGATACATCTAATTAGCACTGTAGTTCCTCGAAGGAACGTAAGTTTTGATACTTTTGACATTATGGACACTGCCATTTGGATAAGTATTTCCCCCAAATAAAAAAATCACTTAACACTATAATTATTCTTAGAAACTGGAAATGCAATACTTACTCATTAGTGAAAGCAAAGATTGTCCCTGAAGGTCGATAATGGCTAAGTAGAACAGCCATGAAGCCGCTCCTGGTGAAGACAACGATTGATGTCCCAAGAGTGTTTGACATCATGGTTGCATGGTATGCAAACATCTCACTCATGTGATTCTGCGGCAATAACAAGCTTTTTTTACTGAATGCTAATGGCTGATAATCAACTCGATGAACAAGCTGAGGTTCATAATCTCATCACATACCTTAAAAGCTTGGCCAAGATCAACTGGCATTGGCCCGCGAGACAAAGTTGCTTCAGTCCGTAATGAGACTGTGTGCATAACCTTTACAGCCTTCAATGGGAATCTGTAACAAAGCAAAAATTCTTACTTCCTCTGAGCTGTTTAAAGCATCCAATCTAAAGGTAATAAGAAGCGAGAGCCACTCACTTTCCGTGAGCAGTTTCTCCAGAAAGCATGACTGCATCTGCACCCTCTCGAACAGCAATTGCAATATCTGATACCTCTGCTCTGGTTGGAGTAGGATGTACAATCATACTTTCCAACATATTGGTAGCCACAATAACAGCTTTCCCCATGCTTCGGCACAATCGGATGATCTCTTCCTGAAAATTTCAAATAAAAAAAGACATGACCTGGTGTGCACTTATATGCATTAGCCAGCCATGAAAGTAGAGTTATTAACCTGCAGAAGTGGAACTTCTTCAATTGGGAGTTCTGCTCCAAGATCTCCTCTTGCAACCATTGCCTACATAAGACCACTATTCCCCTTTAGTCTTTCAATAATGCAAGATATGGTCTGTAAAATACCATGTACATATCCAATTGCTAACCCCATCTGATGCTGTGATTATAGAGTGCAAATTGGGTATAGAATCTGCACTTTCAATCTTTACAATCACGTGTATATCTGCACCACAGCCTGCAGAAATAGAAGGATCAACTGTTGCAGAATTGGGGTCTGACTACATCATGGGAACTCAATTCAAATGCATGTATATGCAAGAAAAGTGAGCCAAATATTACTCTTGAGATAATTCTTCAACTCATGAACAACTTGTGCATCTTTGACAAATGAAACAGCATAGAAATCTACTTTGTTGTCCACTCCAAACTTTATGTCATCCCAATCCTTGTCTGCAAGGAAGTAGCAGAAAGGAATCAAGACCAAGTAAAAAAAATAGTTAGCCACTAAACAGCACAAGACTAGTTCTGTTGTCCAGACCAGTGATGGAAGGCAATGTTGCACTTTTTCCTCGAACATTAAGATGACGTCTAGATTTCAGTTCACCCCCATCAACAACTTCACACTTCACTGAATCTTCAGTCTTCGACTTCACAAGCAGAGACATCATGCCACCTAAAATGTTTCAAGAGTCAGCAAACGATGTAAATTGGAGTTAGGTCTTCCTACTCCAAACCATCAGTTACACAGATCGCTAAAGTTGATTGGTGAGGTCGGCGTAAACATACCATCAACAAGAATCATGTCATTGACTTCTACATCATTCACAAAATCATCATAGTTCACACTAACACAATCAGCTGTTCCAACTCCTCGACGAATTGTGAAAGTGAATTCCTGGCCATTCGCCAACATGATCGGTTGAGGCAAGTCGCCACTCCTAACCTCAGGGCCCTATAATCAACAAACATTGCCCAAATGAACACATAATCTAACTACAAATGCATTTAAAGATAGCAAAAGGGAAATAAATAAGCCTGGAAATAGGCGAAACCTGCCTTAGTATCAATCATAATGGCAATGACATTGTCTTTGGATTGGGCATTATACTCCTTGACCAAGTCAATCACTTTCTGATGGGAAGCATGATCCCCATGAGACATGTTCATTCTAGCCACATTCATTCCAGCTTCGGCCAGCTTCCAGATCATCTCCCTCGTATTCGTCGATGGGCCAATGGTGCAAACAATCTTCGTCTTCCGTTTCACTGCAGGCTTCGGCCACACTCCCGCTGAAGTATCCCCAAACTGCTGCAACTCCATAAACCTCTCTGCCCTCTAATTCGAAGAAAAATGAGTAAAAATGTAACATCAACCCGAAATGGACAGGAAACCAAAAAAAGGCACCTCATTTCCTCAAAGACTTGAAAATTGATTGGAGACCCAACTACCAGAGCCAAGAGAGCTAACCTTTGGAGCATCTTCGGGCGAGACCGGAACCACTTCAGGCTCCAAACGGACGGATCTCGTGACAGCTGCCATTGGTCTGCTTCTACGAGCAACTCCATTGCCCTTCTTGCTGCTCCTCTTCTTCTCATTCTCGAGCCCGAACGCTTTGGAGGTGGCAAAGCTCGAAGCTTTCAGCCTCTCTGCTCGCTCCTGCAGCGACCCAGTAGAGCCAGGGCTCAGCAGCGAGCCGTGAATCGATTTGGTAGCCACCACTTGCGCCATGTGACGTCGGAGAACGGGAGAAGCTTCCAAATGGGGATATGAAAAAGAAAGGGGAATGCGAGACAAGGGGAAACAGCTACGAGCTGAAGGGTTTTAAGGATGGGGAGAGGTTTGATTGGAGAAATCGGCCAGTGGATTTTTGGCGGAAGGCTCGAAGGCAAAGGGAACAAAAGAGAAAGGAGGGAGCCGCCTAGTTTGTATCGACAGGGAATTAGTGTAGAAGGCACAGCTTGGTCCTGCTGTATTTCTGTTGCCCGTTTGAAGCTTTGTGTCACAGTTCAAAACGTCTGGATTTTTGCCTGTCGATTGACTTGACCAGTTGACCCGCTGGCTTCAACTCAAAACGACGCCGTATGAACGGCAACTACTTCTACATGCGCGTGTTTACACTGTTACTTCTTGTTGGCGGCTAACCGGTGAACTACCTACCTTAATGCATGTGTTATTCGAGGGGAATGAAGATGGGCCGCCGGAAGGATCATTGCAGAACTGACAAACGGCCCAAAGCCCATTTGAAATTTAGATCACCCGGCCCGCCGAACAAGTGTGACTGATGCAATTTCATGCCGCCACGTCACGTGTTCAGTTTCACTCTCCATTCAACAAGCGCGGGAAAATTTTCCTCCTAATTCCCGCCTCAAAAGCCCTAGCCACTCTCTCTCTCTCTCTCTCTCTCTGCGACTGATGCCCAGTCAATCAATCTCTCCATTTCTCTCACCCTATCTCAGCAAGCTCGGAACAAAATCGCCGGCTGAAGATGGAGACGCACGGCTTGGCACTGATCTGCGCTGGCCTCGGCATAGCGGAGGAGGACGACGACGGCAACCGGATCGGCTACTCCAAGGGCGAGCAGTGCCTAGGTAAACTTTCTGTCTCCATTCTTCGGTTAGTGTTATCTGTTAGTGAATCTGAGTGTCTAGGGATTTTTTTTCTGTAGAGAATCTGAAGGATTTGGTGAGGTTTTTGAGGCGTGATGATCCGCAGACGCGGGAAGTGTTCAAGCAAGTTTGCAAATGGAATATAGTCGCTAAGGATTTGATTCCTATGTTTCAATACTGCCAGGATGATCGGGATTTGGTCTTGAACGCAGGTAAATTTATCCGTTTCTCACGTTGATTAGTTGGTCCTGAGTAGTAAGGGTGGTGTTGATGTTTCTTGTGCAATTGATTTTTTCAGTGAAGGTTTTTGTGTTCCTGACCATGCCAATCGACCCTTCCTCGAATGAAATCCCTTTACAATTGGAGTATCTTTGGGGTCTGAAGTCTGCGATAACGAGTAGCGACACAGTTGCTGTCATTGTTTCGCTTTTGGAAGGGCCACTTGAAGATTTGGAGCGGTAGGGTACTTTCTACCACTGGAAACTTCTTTAGTTGCTCTTTGCAAAATCATTGTTTAGGTCATTACAGTTGTTTGCTTGTGTTATAACGGTGTCCGTTCTTGTACTGATGTTGATTCTGTAATGCACAGTGAATTGTTTACCGAGGATGATTGGAAGTTGGTTCAGTTGGTGCTGACTCTCTTTCGGAACATCCTTGCAATTCAAGATGCTTCATTGCCTCAGAAAGTTGGGGGATCAGCTTGTCAGTTCCTATTATTGAGAGATGGGTTTCTTGAACTCCTGTTCAACGAGAATGTGATGGACCTGATCTTAGTATTGACTCAGCATGTTGCTGGTTCACGTGGCTTCCTTCGTCATGATAACTTACTTCTTCTAGAAGTTTTCCATTACATTTTTCTTGGGCAAGATCCGGATTTGATTGCCAAAGCTCGTTTCAAGGATTCCAAGGTTAGAAGAAGCTCATATTCTCCCTTTCCTAATAGTGTAGAGACTAATACAAAGCATACTGAAACCTTTGCCAACTTGACAAAGGAAAAAGCAAATAACAGGTCAATTCTGTTCTGGAAATTGATAATTAAAATAGCCAACTGTTCTATTTTCATGCCTGCAGACTTTCTACTCTATAGCTCATTTTAGTCATATATATTGATGATGAAATACATTTGTGGTGCTTCACGTCTAACTTATAAACTTTGGTAGGATGGTGGAGAGAGCATTGCTTCTGTTGAAAATCTCAAGGCCATTATGGAAGAGGAAAAGAAGAAGCTTAAACAATGTAGATCACAGAATATAGCTCGCCATTCCCAATTTAGTGGGACCTTTTCTCGGATCACCATGGTATGCCTTGGTCGTGGAAGATGCCTTTGAGGGGTTCTGCTTTCCGAAATTCTTAACTGAGTTGTTCTCTCTCAGGATGGTTCTACGACAGTATGCAAAGGAAAACCTGGTGCTGCTTCCAATGATTTTCTTAAGCCTCATGCTATCCAAAAGGGTGCGTCTAAAAAGATTGTCTGGGACCATGCCAAGTTTCCTGTAACGAAACATAAGATCTTGGAATTGCTACATGATTTCATGGAACAGTTTCTTTCAGGAAGTTATAATGGTACATATTCAAAGACTTAAATTGCAATCTACTTCTTTATGCTTGATCTCATGACAGGTTCCTTTACTAATACTTAATAGTTAATATCATCCTCCGGAATTCCAGTTTTGATACAGTCAATTCGTGAAGATATCCAAAAGGAACAAAATGGAGTCCAGAAGAATGATATCATTGTTTTCTTCCAAGTTGTTCAGTTTGCCACTTCTTATCAATATTACATGCTCTTGAATTCAAAGGTAGTGTCGATGTGATACTCTTTCCTCAATATAAAAATTAATTGCTCTCAGAGATTGGCTGCTAAGGGTTTAAACATTATTTTCAGTGTAGCTGATTCATTTCCATTTGATAAAATCTTGATAGATGTATTTGGTATAGAAGAATGCATATGCATGTGAAGTAACTTATCAAAGTGTATTCTTAGTTTGGTCCACAGGGTAGCAAATCCCACCTTATACCATTAGGTAGGACTATTCTACATGCTTCTTTTCTTTTCTTTTTTTTTCATTAAAAAAGAAAACACACTAAACGTTCTCTTATTACACCTAGGTCGGACTAAAAGAAACCCCTGATATTCTAAACATATTTTGATAAAGTGAAGGAACTAGATTTATTATTAGATATATCCTCCTATATCTTTGCATGAGCACTTGGTCTTTTCTATCCATTCTCGGTCATTCAAATATTTGGAAGCTTTCCTCTGTGGTGAATTTGAATAGTGCATCCGTTGGTTGAAGCATAGCTGGGAGTGGTGTTATTAACTGGATCCTGATTAATTCTGTAAAATGATATATTTAACGTTCAAAAGGGAATTTAGCTGATGGTAGCCTTGGTTGTTTGGCAGCCGGAAACTGCAAGGGATTCTCCTCAAGCTTCTGGCTTCCCTGCTGATAGTACAGTATTCACAGGTGATGTATGTGGACCGATTGCAGAATCAATGAAGGAATCGATGTTTATACTTGTCATTTCAACGTGGCGGGATGCCTTTGATACTCTGAAGCAAACACATGAATACAAGTTACTTTCTGTAGCAGGTTCACTTATGAAAATTATGGTAAGCAGTATTTGATATTTCTGTTTCCCTTTTTAGTGGATAAGGTACCTAAATCTGACCCATGTATTCGTCTGCCATTGCATCTATACTTTCTTGTTTTAACTTGGAAATACTAAGTGCTAGAGTGAGAGCAATATTTAGTTTAAATTGTTGACTTGACAAAAGGATCGTGTTGCTCAGTTGTTTATGGACATTGGACTGTGACTGATTCCCCATGTTTGTCCAAGATCCGCATCTGGAGTATGTCTTCAACTAACAATGAAAAAGGATAACAGAAACATTGAATTAGAGAATGTTGCAAGATGCACACTGGTTACTATTTGCTAAGATAGAGTGTAGATCGTAAGTACCTTGAAGATTTTGGCATTTGACCAAAATGTTTTTGGGTAACATCAGCAAAAAAGATCAGATTTGCACGATTTATATACAACTTCTTGTTGTGAAGTAAAAAAATTGATTAGATATGATAACATCACCAAGAAGGAGGGCCTTTCAGGACAAGAATTGGATCTCATCTTCATATTGTGCAATTCTGTTGCTGACATGCTTCTTTCATGTGCAGATTCGCATTCTAGACTTGGTGCTTAAGCTACTGCCTGAAAATTCTAAAGAGCCTCAAACAGCTCGGATACTGCTTTACAAGTTATTCTATGATCAGACTGATCAAGGGATGACCCAATTCATTTTGAACCTGATTAAGTCGTTCAACACCCATAAGCAATCTAAAAGGTGCTTCTTCTCCCACACAACTTATTAACTTAAACCCCACAGTGCATGTTTAAATGTATTATTATCCTTTCTTTACTCTGCATGCATTTCATGATTCTGGTACTCCTTGACTTGGAAACTATACGGTATTCAACTTGAGAAAATGAAAAGAACTTGCACGTGCTTTTTTTAGCACCTAAAGTTTCAGCGCTTGTGAACATTTCACTTGTAAATCATTGGCGATACTTCTGAAATGATCAACCAGTAATTTTTCTTCTCTCAAACATCTTCGTCCATTTTTACTAGATGTGTGAATCTTGTGCACAATGATGTGTTCTACTACCCAGTCTTACATCAGTCATCTCACGAGTAGCAGATTATAAACTACCCCAGTTTGTTACTACGTACTGTCTCTCCATACAATACAATTGTCAGAGTGGTCCAGCGTAATTTGAGTTTATGATGTGCAGAGTGCTGTTTGCCATTTGTATATTTGAGTTTCACATATGAGTCGCACTCAATTATTCATTATAGTTGCTTTTCAGTGATCTTGCAGATTTGGTTGAAACAGTTCATGTTATTGTAAGGTTGATGGGACTTCTTCAAACTCGTGGCACTATGAGGGTAAGATGATTTCTACTTAGCAGATTTCTAGATGAATTTATGACTATTCTTAAGCGTGTGGCATGTTTTTAGCATGTCTTTATTAACAGACGCACTCTTTGTGTGTTACTTGATTTTTCATTTTGGTTTATGTTTATTTCACGGGATGAAGTTTCATATCAATCGAATTTTTTCTGGTTGTGAATAAACTTTCTGAATAATAATCTATGTTGTTTAATTGTTAAGGTTTCTAAGGGGTCAAGGAAGGTTCGAAAGAAGAAGTCCTCAAGTGATCAGAGACAAGACAAAGATTTACCTAGTGGAGGTGAAGCTACCATTCAGAATGGGAATGAACAGCCAACTGATTCAGGAAGTTTGGAAAAAGGAAATCAGGAAAATGGAACATCTAACCAACACGATGGCCTTAAGGCTGCTATTCCTGCTGAGCAACCAGAGATAACTGCAGAGATAGAAAATCCTGGCACTGCTATTACTACTGAGCAACCTGAGGTAACTCCAGAGATGGGGAATCCTGACACAGCTATTCCTACTGATCAACCAGAGATAACTCCACAGATGGTAAATCCTGACACCGGTATTCCTACTGATCAACCAGATATAACTTCAGAGATGGGAAATCCTGACCGCAATACACCACCAGATGATATAAGGGCTGATCCTAATCCTATAGATGATGATCTCTCTTGTTGCTCAGATGATGAGTCTGCTGATGACGAACCTGTTTCAACTTATGAAGTTGATTTTAATGTCACAACTTTCATGAAATCTTTCGCGAACCATAGCTTCGTTTGCAATTTATGCTGGTTGCTTAGATTCTATAAGAGCAATTCCGTCACAACTAATCACTACATCATATCCATGCTGCGGAGGATAACAGATGACCAGGACCTTTCTCCAATGCTATATCAGGTTGAATTTTTTTTTCTCTTCTTTCTTTTGCAGTACTTAATGCATGGTACAACTGTTATAGCTAACAGTTATTGTATGGAATTTTGCAGTTATCTCTACTCACAACATTTTATGACATCCTCAATGAGCAAAAGTCGTCTCCGTGCAAGGAATATGAAAATATTGTAGAGTTCCTTACAACTCTGGTGAGGAGAATGTTGAGGAAAATGAAGAATCAACCCCTCCTCTTTCTAGAAGTTCTCTTCTGGAAGTCCAGAAGTGAATGCAATTACATCAATGCAGACTATTTAGTACATGAACTGGGCAGTTTGAGAAGAAAGACAAAAGATTTCTTTGGCGCTTCAGCTGATGGAGAAGTTGGTTCATCAGGGGCCAAAGGATGGGCTCCTAGAAGCATTGCTGATGCTCTGGGTGATGATGAAGCTGATGTCGTGATCTCCCATGACATGGAAAATCAGAAGTAAGTGTACCTATTAGATGTTTGTTAAAGGAATTGACAGTAATTTCCCTGGAGCTTTACATTTTCTAGATTTCTAGCAGACCCAAAACATCAAATCTTCTCGCACTTATTTGTAGTTTATTTCAGCTGTTGATATTAGATACATCACAAGGGTGATGAAGATGATTTAGGGTGATTTCCTTTATATACAGTATGGAAGACAATTCAAATGAATTGCAGAATGAGAAGGCGTCAACTTCTGGCAGCAGTTTCTCCAGAAAGGAACTTCCAAGAAATAAAAGATTTGTGCTGACGGAGGAAATGGAGCTACGGATCAAAGATCTCTACGAGGAGTAAGTGCTTCCCTCAAGATTCCTCACTTTACCTCCAATGTCCTGAGACATTGCTACCATTTTCTCATGCATTTCATGAATTCATTTCAGATTCAAGGATGATGAGAAATGTTGTCATCGCATCGCCGAATCCCTAGATCCTACTGGCCGAGTTTCGCCAACACAGGTTTTAAACAAGCTCAAGCAGCTTGGGCTGAAAGCTTCATTAAAGAAAAGGATAAGAAAGGGCAGGGGAACAGATTCTACTGATCCTGATCAGCCCTCTCAAAGTGAAAAGATTACAGAAGAAGAAACCTTGCTCAAGAAATCCACGTAAGTAAAATCAAGCACCCATACCTCTGGATGGACACTTAGCTTTCCAGGCTGGTGCAAGAAGTTCCAGTATGAAGAAGGTTGAACAAAGAACTGATCTTTCTTTTCTTTCAACACTTTCCCTACTCCACAGGGGTGCTAGGAAAAGAGCGCCGGCTATTGGCAAGGATCAGGAAGAAAAAATCAGAGCTTTATATGAGCAGTAAGTTCTGCATCACTTGTCATGTCTGCAACTTACATATCATATCACTTCCCACCCTATCATATTAATCTAAACCAATTGATGTACATTTCTGAAGGTTCAAAGGAGAAAAACGGTGCAGCCACATGATCGCAGATGCTCTGGCACCAGAAGGCAGTTTCACAGCTGCACAAGTTACCCGCAAACTCAAGCAAATTGGGCTTCATGTTCCCCAGAGGAAAAGGTCCCAGACAGAAGCCAACATGAGAGATGAGGAAGTCAACTATGGACATGAATCTGAAGAGGAAACATTGTTGTCCTTCAAGAATAGGTATTTTCCCAACTTGGTTTGTTTACCTTCTGAAGTATTTGTGTTTATTTACGTGCCGGTGCACCTGTCATATTGTGGGATCACAGGAGAGCCAAGGAGGTCCAAGACCGAAAGAAAAGTAGGAAACTCGTTCCAGAAGCATCAGCGAGCAGAATTGAGGTTCCTGGCGGTGCCATGGACGATGGTGAAGGAATTGATGAAGATGATAATTCTGGTTTGAACCACAATACGAAAGAACGTGGTGGCAGCCCTGCTGTCATTTCTCCTGCTGCTGCTGCTGCTGGTGATGACGAAGCAAGCGAGCCAATGGACGATGAACTGGACGACAATAGTGTGGATGTTTCTCCAGCTGATGATGATGACGACGATAGTGAACTCATGGTGGATGAACTTGAGGACGATGACGCGGATGCTTCTCCGGTTGACGAGGACGATGATGGTGTACAGATGGTAGCAGATGGATTGGAGGATGATGGCATGGACATTTCTATTTCTAGTCCACAGATGGGAAGTGCAGTCTCCAGAAGGAAGTCGAGGATGATAATTGATCTTGAAGATGAAGATTAAAACAAGTGCTAGATCATTGGTGCATAAAGCCACAAAGTGACTTTCATGTTATCTAGTCCAGGATGTGGATGGTTGCGTGGGTGGCAAGATTCAGAGGTGCCTTCTCTTGGATGATTTTCCTTATGTTCTGATTTTTTTTGGCTAGGCCATTTGTAAATGCTTCCTGTTCAGAAACGTCTGATTTATTTTGGTTGGAATCACAAAGAGCCTTTGCATGCTTCATTTCGATTGCGTATATATAATATCGAACCACGCCAAATCTTTACAGTATCATATCAGCAGAAAGGATATCAGTTTTTTCACCACTGTCCAAACTCCCAACTATAACTTAATCACAACATACTGTCAGTCCTCGCAGGCAGGCGTCGAAAGAAGTTGACCGGAGCAGCCGGCGTCTTATGCCTGAACTTAGGATGCCTCATGGTGTAGAACCCAACCAGTAGTGCCAAAATCTGGAATGGAGTCCCATACAACACAACAGCAGCCACAAGGCAGAACGTCACGAATATCGCAGTGGCACGTGGATCCCTCCAGCTCAGCAGCGCCTGAATCCTTTCCCCTTGAGCCGCCACATCACCAACCACTGTCTGTATCCTCCCTGCCACGCTCCTCAGCCGATCATACCTCATTCTCACAATGTCAGAACCTTTCGTCGTAGGGAAAGTGTCAAACTCCTCATCTAGCTCATCAGGATGCACCGCGTCAGCATACGAGATCCTCGTGTTCATGTGTGGAGGATACTTGGGCCGAAATCGATAGTTCCACAGGCCGATCAAGAACATGTAGAGGAAGACCGTCGGGAGAATCAGCTCCGGGAAGCAGACCAACATCACAAAGAGGAGATGGACCAGTACTGTGGTCACAGGGTTCCTCCACATGCACACATCTCCGAACCACTTCCCGATGGCAAACAGTCCCGAGAAGACCGACATCAGGCGGAAGAAGTTAGCCTTGCTCTTCCTCATGCTCCAAAGATGAGAATGTGCGTCGGACATGTACTCTATGATCTCTTTCCTCAGTGGTGGCTCTGCCCGGCTTAGCCTCGCTGCAACTACGTTCACCGCGTGGTTTCGCAGCATATCCTGCTGCGCTATAGGCAGTGGCTTCACGTAATGCATCTTTGGGAGGAGTGGCTTGGAGTAGAGGTACATCATGTTTGTGAAGGATGTGTAGGAGAATCGGATGGCCAGATGGAGCTCGCCCATCTTTTTGACACCTGAAGGGTGGAGGACTAGCAGTGGGTATGAATGTGTGTAGACTCTGCCCGTCTCGAGTGTAGAGAGTCTTACTCGAACCTTGCCAATTTTCGAGTCTCTGGTGGTGGCTCCATTCGAGTTGGAATTGATCTGGCTGTTGTCAAAGACACCAACGGTTAGGACTGTTGCAGGGTCATAGACTTCCCACGTGTACTGCTCATTGTACTTGGGGCTTAAGCTATCGATGATGGTTCGAGTCCTGACCCATTTCGGTCCATACTTGGCTACACAGTATGTATCTGATGTCCCTTTCCCTTCTCTCGTCTTCATGGGATGAATCCCATCAGCATTGAGAATGCCAAGCTCCAATACACCGATTGACTGCTTCCAGAGTTGTTTGGCTGTTGGTCGAAGGTCGCTGCTGTAGTGGATTGGCTCGTCTAGGACGTGGTACCCTCCATCCAGCACTACCTTGAGATGGAGTCTGCTGGAGAAACTCCTACCTTCCTGGCGATCATCCGTGGGAGGTGTAATGTACTTCTCGAGGGTGAACCATTTTCCACGGACGAATCGATCATCAGCACGCTTCTCAACAGTGGTCAAGGGGATCACAACTTTACCTATGCTCTCGTCTTTGTTGGGCGCAACACGATCTTCGACCGAGAGTACCAAATGCTCATCAAAGGGCTCAGCAGCAACGAACATCAAGTCCTCATTCCAAACCGGATTCATCGTTCGACCTTGAACCATCTTCGTCCTGAAAACTTGGTTCCCCATTTGTACCTTCACATATGCATCAGGGAACCGGTTCTTGTCCTGTGCTACAAGGTCTTGTGCCTCGATCACGTTGACTCGAACATACCACAATCTAGGAGAGTGATACACCTTTGACCGGAGCTGTGAAGAGGCAGTGGATGAATTGCCGTCTTTAGGAGCGATTGCATCAGAATGCCAAGCATCGGGGAAGGCCTCATCAGCTTGTGTGCCATACCAAACAGCAAGCATAAGCTCCCCAACTTTCCTCCTGTCCCCTTTCCTGTCTTCAAGCCGATACCACTCTGGAGCCAACGGGCTATCAGGTGGTACCCTGGTGGGGATCTCGTTCATGTCAAACCTCACGAGCCCGACGAAGTCATCAAGTAATGTGTCTTTATCTTTGACCACAACTTCAAGAACAGATGACTGCAACCTGTCCCTTGCGAATGCAAACACCTCATTCCACTCAGGGTTTTGCCTCTTCTCAAAATACGTTGTCCTGCCTTTATAGTTCCCAACTCTGACCTCAACATATGGGTCAAGTCCACCTGTGATATCTTTCTGAGGAAGGTCAAGAGCTTTCACAACTCTCACATAAAGGTACCTCATTTCTTCGACAAGGTTATAAGTTCCGGATGGTCTATCTGCACGTATGACCCTCCCTTTTACGACTCTTCCACCTCCAAGATAAGGACTTGTCTCCTTGAGTGAATAATCAGGTGGTTGTGGTGCTGCTCCAGGAAACATACGAACAGTTCTTGGGGCCGATGGTCCAGACTTCATCTCGTGAGCCCCGTAATTCACCTGTGGTTCAGGAGGCCCAGAATTCATTTCCCGTTGTTGTTTTGGCTTAGTTTCCTTTGGGAGGTGATGGAATGTGTGCCTTGTGTCACCTTTGTCCCTCGAGAACAATTTCTGGACCATGTTTGACGGCTGGCTAGTTTTCGATCCATGAGCTTCAGTACTAGTCTTCCGTGAATCAGACTCCATTGCAGGAAGTGGGTTGGATGTTCGGATTGAAGGGTCATCCGTGACAAAGACTTTCAAGCCAAGCTCCCCTTTGACACGAGAAAAAACCCGATGCTTCTCCAGCGGGTAGTGCAAGACAACAGCATCAGAATGAGGGACGAACGATGTTCCAGTAAGGCGAACCTTCCCGAGGCACGTCTTGGAGTTGTTGTTTTCCCTGCTGTGGTTGCTGTAGACAAAGGCTTCAAGGTTGAGGTTTTGGAGGTTGTTTGGTTCAGAGATGTTGAAGTAGAAGCTCTCGTTCCAAACCGGGTTAGCATCTCTGTCCTTGATGGTAGTTCGGAACTTCTGATGATCGAAATGGAGCTCCACGAAAGAGAGGGATGTACCACCTTCTTTGTCTTTCGATGCAAGGTCATGAGCACCAACAACTTCAACTCCAAGCCTTAGATTACTCATGGTAACTAACTGGCTGAGCTCAGGAAAACCCTGCCCTTCAATTGCAAGAAGCAGTCAATTCTGTGACAAGACCATATCAAACATCAATGATTAACACTCATGATCAGTTCTTTCACAAGGCCAACCAAGTAGGAAACATTTCTATAACGGGAATAAGTCTAGGAAAAGGTGGATCAGGCAAAAAAGTACAAGATGCTTCAACAACTATGCTTATTTCTTTTGGGTGCAAATCGAAAGGCTACAGCCCACAAGCATATGGAATCCGTAAAAAAAGTGATTCCATTTGGCCACATGGATTCCCCAAATCACCCTGAACTTGTATTCCTATCCTAGTCAGACATGGCTCTTTCAGCAGCTAATTAGTCATCAAAAAGATGATCGAACTGAATATTCAGAATCCGCAGCTTTCTATTGAAAGACAGGCTTTTCAACAAAGGGGAGAAGAAAGAGAAAACCAGAGCAGCTATAATTCAGAGTGATGACTTCAATCGGCAACCACGAACAGAAAAGGCAAGCTGATTGATCATTCATCCAAAATCAAAAGACTACCCAGAAAAGAAGAGACAATCTATGATCGACCCAAAATTCCTTCAATTGGAAAGGGAAAGGCAAGAGAGGCAGAACAGAGAAAGCTTACCTTAACCTGCCGTGTACGTTTAGTGACACACGCAGCTGATGAAGTCGAGAAGAAGAAGAAGAAGAAGAAGGGGGAAAACTGAAAAAACAGAGCGGAAGTAAATATATTATACCAATCAATGAAACATGGAGAGAGAAGAGAAAGAGAGAGGAAAGGGCTGGGAGGGATTTGATTGGCCGGTGGGTGGGATGTTTCGCTGAGTAAGACGGAGGAAAATGATGATGAAGATGGTGGTCGTCGACTCGTCGTCGTCGTCGAAAACGAGTACAATGGCTTACTCGTTTTGTTTTTGGCTCCAATCTTTTCTTTTCACTGAAAGAAAACTTAGAAGGAAATTCATTTTTAATATTATCTTTTGTACAAGGAAATTGGAAGGAAAGAACAGGGCAAAAAGAAGAATAGAAGAGAGATGGATTAGGTCCTTTATTTTCTTAGAGTTGGACTCTTCTGATTCTTAGTTCTTACATTCGGCACGTCTCAAATTGAACTTAGGGCAAGCATAACCCAAACCCAAGCTCTTGCTTGCAGTGGGGGCAAGCTTGCGCCTTCAACGACAGATGCTGAAATTCAACCTTTTGTTCGCGCGATTCGTTGTTTCTATACTTGCGACTATTCTCGTCTCGTGCTATATCTATTTGTTAATCTATCAAATTGTTTTCAATTCAAACTTTTATCGACGAGCAGACGATAAAATACAAACTCTATCTTGGATCAATACGTACAATGTCAGCACCTGCATACACACTTGGTAGTTTCATTTCTGTAGAATTGACAAATGATATCAACCTGGGAATCAAATCAAACAAACGACGAACAAGTAGCCCTATTTCTCTGATATAATTTCCTCATTTCATCTGGGTTGACATGCGGTAAGCAAAGTTGTGCCATCGGTGCTCTGACTGGTTATTGAAAAATCCCTTTTCAACTTCCTGTAAACATGATCCAGCCTTCCTCAAAAACTTGGAGAGAGATCATTACAGAATCCAATTCGCTCAGCTCTTGGGATCGACACCATTTTGTCCACCAAATCATTCTTCAGAGTTCACGTTGCAGCACGAAGAAGAACGTGAACAGCAGCAACAGCAAGCGAGCTTGAAAAGATGTGACCAGATAGCTTAAGATAAACTAGTCTTAGAAAAAACAAAACTAAAGATAACTTTTATCAGTACATATATACTTAGCAGCAGAAAGAACTTTATATAATCCCTTCCAGTTACATGTATGTAAGAGACCCCATGTAAAAACATGGTGCCAAGATATATCCCTGGAGGAATAATGAAGGTCACTACAAAGGATCCCATGATGCATTTCCGTGAAGAGGAAAAGGGATTGTGAATAATGGTCTCATAGAATTGTCAAAGTCGATCCCAAGAGTTGAGACTAACAGCAAGAGGTGTTATGGCAATAATAATTTTCAATTGAAGCCAACCCAAAAACATTGTTGACAGAAGCTACCCAAATCTTTGCTCAAAGGATGGTTTCAAACAATGGGTAAATGGTAAGAGAAATTAGAACCGAGAGTTCTGAAATCCCAGTTCTTAAACGAGTTGCGAAAAGTGAGAGCCCCACCAGAAATTTCCCAAATAAAACACAGCAACAAAAAGATAAAGAGACTCACAGTAAACATGCCAGTTATTGCTTGCTGCTCTGACTCAGCATTGAGGGAGTTGTTTGCTGCTCTGAACCAGCTGCAGCTGCTTCCATGATACACACCTCGCAATTCCTCGTACCTTGGAATTGTAGTAGCACAACATAGGCTGGAACAGAGTCCATCGAGGTACAAGTTATCTTAGATCAGCAAAGAACTATATATCTCCACTCGCCATGTTGCAGCACATTATAACATCAACGCCAGGAGGAGGGATATAAAGGAAGAAGATAATTTCCGGCTTCTTCGGATGCAGATCAAAGATTTTACAGTGGTCAAGTTCATAGCTACCTTGATGCCTTCTCCAACAACCATTTACCTTGTTTCCTCGAAGATTGACGGTCCTTTTCCAGTCTCTGAACCCTTAAACGAGCATGTATAGTTTTCACTTATAATCCAATTATGTGCAAAGCACCTTGTGACACCGAAATATCCCAATGCCAATTCCCAGAGGATACAGAAGCATCAATAAAAGTGGCAGGTATATCAAGGCGGAAGGGATTCAACACAAAGCATTGTATGTGGATTCCTCTCAACATCTTCAGTTTCATCTTGGATGTCAACCAAAACAACTTCCCATTGCAGGACATACATTTTTCTGACAGAGTTTGCGATAATCAGGAAAAAAAAAAGAGCCTCCTTGGTCCATTTTCCAGACTCGGATGAAACGCGTCTAGTTTAATACACACATTACGTCAATATATACGTACCAACCGAAATCGATAATCGGAAGAAGAAAAGGAAAAACCTGGCCATCTCCGAGATCAAGATTTCTATAATTATGGTTACTACTACTATTACTACTAAGGGGTTCACAAACTAACCTTGTAACCGGTGCTTCATAACCCACTGGCTTCTCAGGCCCCACTGGAAAGGCCATCCACTGCTTTGTAAACGGATTGCAGACCATGTACATCCTGCCAAGCTTGTTATAAATTTTATTTGGATCCTTAATCTTGGATCCATGAATCCACATAAAAACAATTCCTTGAAGCAATCCAAGACTTTGAAACAGTCTCTAAGTCTAGCAGGCATGGAGGGGATAAAGCTCATGATGACCTATTGCAGGTTGCTGGTTTGATCCGTGTGCAGAAACAGACTTCATAGTTTGTTACTGCTCTGGTGGTGAGAAACGAAAGGCTGACTGAAGACAGGTCTGCAACGGCAGGCATTTATCGGGTTCAAGAGGCGAATCAGAATTTCTTATGAGGAGATCGTCTCTTAGTTTGTTCATCAATGAAAGAGGAGGATCTGCTTCTGATAGGATTGGAAGATGTTGTTTTATACAGGTCACCATGTCTGTAGAGACAAACAGAATGTTTGAAGGTAGGAAGGAAGCGAATTCCGGCAGCGGCCCAGAAATAGTTGCTGTAGCAGACGAGTTTGGAATTTCACCATGGACACTACAGCATGTTCACTGCTCTATAATGTATAAACATGTTCCAGCCCTTCCTCGACTAATTAAGAGTACTATAGTCCATAACAACTTTCAGTCCTTCTTTTTCATGCCTGTAATCAACTGCATTTAGATAGAATCCAACTCGCTCAGCTCGTTATTGAGCGTCCGTAACCCTTCAAAATATGCGCGTAATTTCTCTCCACAACCTTGGAGAGACACCACTTTATCATCCACTAAACCATTCTTCAGCGTATATTCACATAGTTGCTCTCCTGACCCAGGCAGCAACAACATTTTATCCACCAAATCATTCTTCAGAGTTTGCCTTGCAGCACGAAGAATGTCAACAGCAGCAAGAGCTGGAAAAGACAATGTGACCAAATTAAAGATAAATTAGTTTTGAAAAGACACAAAAATAAGATAGTAGCAACATAAAGAACTCCGCATGATTCATTCTGATTCCATATATATAATACAATACCCCATATGAAAACATGGTGCCAAGATATACCCCTGGAGCAACAAAGAAGATTTCTTTAAAAAGAAAGGCTCAAGGTAAATATTACCATTAACTGCTTGCTGCTCCGAATCAGTATTGAGGGAGTTTCTGTTTGCTGCTCTAAACCAGTGGCAGCTTCCATCATACATTCCTCGCAGTTCCTTGTACCTTGGGATTGGAGTAGGCCAGTCAGGAACCCGAGGCTGGAACAGCGTCCAACGAGGTACAAGTTGCCTTAGATCAGTAAAGAACTCCAGCTTAGCTCCCCTAAACATGTGGAAGGAAAATATCTCATCACCGCCAGAAACAGGGAAATACCGGAAGAAGACATTTTCCGGGTCTCCTGGATGCTGATCAAGGATTTGGCAATCCTCAAGCTCATATTTACACCACCACCATTGTGGGTTCTCCAACAACCTTAAACATTGATTTGTCCAAGATTGTCGGTCCTTTTCCCGTCTCCAAATCCTTAAATAAGCAGGTCTATTTACCTTATCTAATGTGATCATGTATAAAAGACCTTCTGAGATCGAAATATCCCATTGAGCGTATCTAGTGAATTCAGATGCATCAATACAAGTAGCAGGTACATCAAGGCGGAAGGGATTCAACACAGCAAGCATCGGACTCAACTCAGTATCTCGTAAATCATCTAGGGTTTCCTCTTTCCCTTGGGCTGTACCATACAACCAAAACAACTCCCCATTGCACGAACGTACATTTTTGTGACGGAGTTTGCGATGACCAGGAAAAACAAGAGCCTCCTTGGTCCATTCTCCAGACTCGGAACAAAACACATCTAGTTTAATACACGCCTGGTGTTGATATATACATACCACCCGTAACCGATACTCAGAAATAAAAGCCAAAACTTGCTCATCTCGGAGATCAGGATTCCTAGAATAAGAATTACTGCTACTATTGCTACTGCGGGGTTCACAAACTAACCTTGTAACTGGTGCTTCATAACCCGCTGCCTTTTCAGGCGCCAACGGAAGGGCCATCCATTGCTTGGTAAACGGATTGCAGAGAACGTACGTTCTGCCAAGCTCGCTACAATTCTTATCTAGATCCATATACCCACACAAAACCAGGTCCTTGAAGCAATCCAAGACTTTGAAACACTCTCGAACCCTATCGGGCATGGACGGGAAGAAGCTCATGATTACCGATTTCGGGTCGCTGGCGTCGTCCGTGTGAAGAAGCAGAGTTCGAGCCTCGCCCGTGCTCTGGTTGTGAGAAACGAAACGGCGGCTGAAGCTGGGACTGGAGATCAGGGACCTCCAACGCTTGCAGACGAGTTTGCACCGGAAGGCGGATTTAGTGTCCGGAAGGCGAATCAGAATCTCCCCGAGGAGATCGTCTCCGAGTGAGATGATGACGGAAGGGTTCTCTTCTGAACAGCTTCGAAATCGGTTTCTGCGGAGGAGCGCCATGGCGGCACCGCGGTAGGCACACAGATGGATTGAAGGGAAGGTTACGACGTACGGAGAAGCCAGAGAGAAGTTATAGAAATCCCTAATTTTCTATTTTGTTTCCGATTCTTTCTCCCGCTTTTTTTTTTTTCCGGGTAAATCCGGTCAGAACCCACCCTAGGCGACCATCCGGTCCGACATACTCGGTCGGACCAAATTAATATTTGAATTATATATCGAATCAAATTTAATATAATGTATTTAGAAGTGATGACAATTTCAACTCGCCCCGCGAGTATTACCCGACCTGATCCGCGATGGGGCGGGTATTATCCGACCCGCAGTAGCGTGAGGCGAGGCATGGGTATCTACTTCCGACCCGTCCTGCCCCGCCACGCCCCGTTCTAGACTCATTTTATCTCAATTTCTTACGATATCTATACATATTTTTCCAATTTTGACTTTTCTTTAACTAGTTAGAGTCGATCTTTTAACTTGTTAGACTCAATTATCCATTCTATTATCAATATTTTTCTTTCTTAAAGTATTTTTCTCTACGTTTTATTGTAAAAAGTAAAATTTACTTGTTTTTTTTTTTTTTGAACATATAAGAGTGGGTCGACCCGCCCCGCCCTGTACCCGCGCTCGTGTTACCCGCCCCGACCCGTAGTATCGTGGGGCGGGGCATGAGAATTGAGGTACCCGCCCCGCCCCATTGCCATCACTAGTATTTTGGTTTAGATCTTAGGAATTTTCTTAGAATTAAGGGAAAATCAAGGTCCAGAATCTACTGCTCGATTTTCCTTTTAAATTTGGTCGGTTCATTCCCGCAATTCAACTTGGTTATGAACCAAATTCGACAACCAACGATTCCAAATGTGAATAGGGCTGCAACTCATGATGGGTTGGGTTGAAGCATTCTGCACGTTACATCCTCAAATACAAAATTTGACATCAACTTAAAACAATTCATCCCAAAATTCACATTTGATCACGAAGAAGATGACCAAAAAAAAACCTCCTATTCTCTAATCTAATATTTTATCATTTCATCTAGGAGACATGGTCGAGTAACTACAAGTGGCACGCGACGTAGAAACCTGAGTCGTGACATCGGTAAAAGACGAGCACAAATGATCGTCACCACTATCCAATTCCCTTTTCATGGCCCTGTAAACTTGTTCCAGCCCTTCCTCGACCAGTTCCAGCACGGTCTGCGGCATTGGAGGCGTCTTGATCTCCGCCGATCCTTCAAGCAACTTCACAACTTCCCCCATCGAAGGTCGCGTGAACACCTCGTCCTGAATGCACCAGAACGCAACCTTCAACGCTCTCGTCAGCTCGTCTTCCTTCACCGACCCCTCCAGCCTTCTGTCCGCTGCTTTCAACGGCGTCCCGTTCATCAGCTCCTAAATAAAGTTGGCAAACCAAAACATTAACATTTTGGATCAACTATAATGAGGGGAGAAAAAAAATTACTTTATAATGTCAATAACGGTTAGTGTTGTGGTATATGATCCACGATTGAACTTCTTCCAACAACTCTAGTTATTGGGATCAACTGGTTCATAACATGGTATCAGAGCCTTCTGTGACCGAAAGGTCTTACCTTGAAGGCCCAACTAGGGTAAAAGAAGTCCTCCGCATCCAACGACATATCAAGATTCCTCCTTCCGCCGATGATCTCCAGCAGAAGCATCCCGTAACTGTAGACGTCGGCCTTCACCGTGATCGGCCGGTTGCTGACCCATTCGGGCGCCAGGTAGCCTCTGGTGCCGCGAACCATGGTGACGACGTGGGAATGCTCCCTCCCCATGAGCTTGGCGAGCCCGAAATCCGACACTTTGGGGCAGAAAGTCTCGTCCAGCAGGATGTTCTCCGGCTTGATGTCGCAGTGTATTATCCGATTCCGGCACTGCTCGTGAAAGTACGCTATCCCCTGCGCCGTCGCGATGGCGATGCTGAATCGGGTCGGCCAGTCCAGAACCCTGTCCTTCGGACGGGTTTCGTAGGACTGAAAGATCCACTTGTCTAAGGACCCGTTCTTCATGAACTCGTAAACCAACAGCCTGTCGGAAAAATACCACATTTGGGATTACTTGGTCAGCACGGAATCAGAAAATGGTGAATCGGAAAGGGATTTTTTTTTTTTTGGGGAAAAGGGTTTGGAATTTCACCGGCGAGTTCCCTCGGAGCAATATCCACAGAGACGAACCAAGTTCATATGGTGCATTGATCCAATTGTGTTCACTTCGGTAATGAATTCCTTCTCACCATGTGGCAAAACCTTGTCCAATTTCTTCACTGCTACCAGAGTTCCATCCCCTAGACTTCCCTTGTACACACTCCCGAATCCCCCTGTCCAAAATAATCAAATTGTTTTCAAACGCTAATTCGCGCGCTGCGCGACACTAATACGAAAACATTCAAACACGTACTGACATCATTGGATTCATTCGATGTGGTTGAAGTACTCAATTGAGAAAAATGTTGCATTTTGAAGGTTCAACAAACTTTACCTGTCCCGAGCAATTGGGAGAAATTCCAGGTCCGAATCTGCAAATCGCGGTACCCGAAACTCACCGGAGCTCCGGAGGAGATCTTCAGAGCATTGTCCATGGCGGCCCTCTTCAACGCCCTTTTCCGGTGAACGTTATAGTACAGCAACAAACACAGCAACGCGATCAGGAAAGTCATGCTGAGAAGAATCGGCAGCACCACCACCTTCCCGGCGGTACTCGCCGACATCCCGTCGCCGTCGTCGCCGCCCGACCCGTTCGCCCGAACCTTGACGAACAGGGTCGACCCGGGATCCTCGTACCCGCCGAAATCCAAGCTCCGCAGAACCCAACAGTACGGCTTCTCGTCGTCCAGCCCGTACACCGACGCCACGCAGTCGCAGTCGGAGAGGCACGCGTCGCCGCAGTCGGAAACCGCCGCCACGTCGCTGTAGTTCGCCACCACGGAGAATTCGGAGAAGTAGTAGCTCGTCTGTTGCACGGCCGCAATCTTCAATCCAGTACTCGAATTCCCACCACCGCTCCGCCGATGGCAATTCTCCGCGGCCGCGGCGGCGGAGGTCGAATTCTCTGCCCCGCACAGGAAATTAGGGTTCGATTTCGATCCCGAAATCGGCATGCTCGTTTCCTTCCCGTGTCCGGCACCCGGCAGGCAAGTACACGTGGCGTTGGTCTTGCTCCGATCGAGGTTGCAGATCCCGTTGCCGCAAATCCCGGCGATGTCGCAGGGGTTCGAAACGGCGGCCCATTCCGGCACCCACTGGCGGGACCCGTTGACGTCGTTATCCCATCGGTAAAGCCTCAAATTGCCGTTGGTTTCCAAAATCAGCCGTCTGATCACGGCTGCTCTGGTGGCCGTCGATTGATTCGCCGCAGAGGACAATCCGTTGTAATCGTTGTCGTTCTTGTGGACGTAGACCGCTCCGGCGGAGGACTCGCCGTAGACGATCCCGAAGCTCCCGGCGGCATCGAGGACGGCGAGGACCTGGCCGGTGACGTTGGAGATGTCGGGGCCGTTCCAGTAGGAGTAATTGGCGCCGGCGGATTCAGGGGATTGGTAATTAGATGATGATGATGATTCGTCCGCCGGCAAGTTGTAGGTGAGGGCGAGGCTTAACGATGTGGGCTGCTGGAGCATTTTGAGGGAGTAGTAGCCGCCGTTGATGGGGGATTTCGGGGAAGTTAGCTCGAGTTCGACGGTTAATGGCTGGTTGGGAAGCAGAGTGTCGGAAGGGTGTGAGAAGCTCTGCCACTGGGGGCGGTTTGTGGAAGTGTAGAGTATGAAATTGCCGGATTCATCCATGCTGGCGTATTGGATTCCGGCGCCGGTGGTGTTTGATGACCAGATTGTGGTTCGGCCGTCGGTGAGGAGGAGGTTGCCGGCGGTGGTGAAATCCAGGACTGCGTTCTTGGTCACCGGCGAGTTCCTGATGAGGAAAACAAAAATGGAAATTTCAAAAAGGAAAAACTCTCTTGTTCCACTTCCACCCCACCATTTAGATACAAAATTCTACATTGTCATATAAAAAGAAACAAAATTTGTCTTAACCATTTACAAAATCAGTAGGATCTAAGTAATCAAATGCATCTCACATGCTAATTAATAAGCTCGAGATTTAGAGAGTACTATAAACACGTTCTCAATCATTCAGATTTCATTGTCTTAACACAGTTTTTTTTATGGGAGCACCCAAACACCGGTGTTTGTAAAACTGTAGCGTCTTTGATGGTCTGATCGAGAAAACTCTAAACCAAAGTCCAAACCGATAGACAGTTTTAACCGTACGAAATGATTGAACCATGATATCACTTTAAAACACCCCGACGATTAACTTACCTATTAGGCGACCAAACAGTGATGCGGTCACCAGGAAGATCATTGAACCAAATAGCCAGCTGAAACTGGTCGGGAGAGTCGTCTGCCACTTCAGTGAACCCAAATGCGAATGTGCCATTGTCAGAGATCCAAGCTTGGTCCAGCTGGCTGGCCAGCAGCCTCGAACCGGGCCCGATTCGACCGGCAAATGAACCGCCAGCTGAAACCAGTAGCAAGAAAAAGAGAACACAAAGAGAAGCAGCAGCCATGCAAGCTGTCAAACACAACTTGAGTTTGTACTGCAAAACAGAGTGCAGCTGAACCCGAAAACAAAAAATATTAGAAATGGAGAAGACAGAGCAGTATTTATGAGATGTTGGAGGAGAATAGAAATTAGAAAGTCTTTACGTGTTAGGGGAAAGAGCTAATGATGAGGGTAACACGTGGATTTTGGTGGGTGAGCTACAAAGTTTGACATCAGGAAAAAAAAAAAGGAGAGGAGCTGCAGACGCCGCAGTCAGCTGTTCTATGGCACGTGGCCGCTGGATTGTGGGTGTTGGAATTGCGCGGCCTACAAATTTCTTTTGAACACCTACTGTGATTCCAGTTGTTCAAATTTCTTTTCTGATTATTCACATGCATCAAGATGAGAAGCTGGTCTACATCTATGGCGATTTCAATCTGATTGGCATAGCATGATTTAATTCCTGACATTCGAGAAGCGAATATGAGATGAAATACGCACGCATTGTTTCTGGTTCCTAATCGGTTCTCTCGTTCTAAGTTATAACGTTGATCTCTATATATACGGTACTATATGTTCTTGAGGAATTTGAGCAGACGAACTAAGTTAGAAACAATGAAGAGGCTGGAAAAATGCAGGTGAATCGAGGCGGTGAAACTCAAGAAATCCGAATCCTGATAGCTAAACATGTATTACCAAATTCTTATATTTTCGTAGTTCTATTATACACTTGTATTTATACACTGCTTTAGTGATTGTCATAAGGGGTAGGATACTATGCTAACCCCTAAAGGGGTAGTGATTTTTGACACCCCCTTTATGATTGGCCAATTTTATTTCCAATCATTGGCAAGTATTAATTAAACTGATTTTTTATTTTTTTTAATCTTGTAATTTGGGGTCTCTCACCACATTGGAAAAGAGAAAGAATCTGGGGAAAAACGAAATCACCCCCATTAATTACATAATTAATTTCTCTCACTGGTACATTAATTACACGTACCACTCTACTGGTACACGTACCACTCCACTGGTACACGTACCACTCCACTGGTACACATACCACTCCACTGGTGCGAGCAATCCACAAGGTAGGTTAGAGTGAGAACAATACCAGTGCAATGATATTTTTCATAACAATGATAAACAATAACGGAGCAACAATGCAGTACCACTTCAATGATACAAATACCACTCCACTGGTACACGTACCACTCCACTGGTACACGTACCAGTGGAGTGGTACGTGTACCAGTGGAGTGGTACGTGTACCAGTAGAGTGGTACGTGTAATTAATGTACCAGTGAGAGAAATTAATTATGTAATTAATGGAGGTGATTTCGTTTTTCCCCAGATTCTTTCTCTTTTCCAATGTGGTGAGAGACCCCAAATTACAAGATTAAAAAAAATAAAAAACCAGTTTAATTAATACTTGCCAATGATTGGAAATAAAATTGGCCAATCATAAAGGGGGTGTCAAAAATCACTACCCCTTTAGGGGTAGTCAAGCTAACCGATCCCTTGTCATAATTTATTATGTTTAGCTATCAGGATTGAGAGTATCCACGAGTATTAATCTCACCTTTGTAAGCTAGGATGCTCTCCCTATTTAAAGGGATAACATTGAATAAGCAAAGGCAACAAAAGAGTTGTTAAGTGAAAACTAGGTTTTACTCTCATCTTAAGTATTAATACTATCGATGCTTTAGATTATAGTTTCAATACCCTCCCTCACCCTGTTTTAACTTTAGACTAACTCCAACCCAAGGATGCAAATTTGGAAAAAGGAATATTTTCCCACTTTTTCCTCTCCAACCCACATAAAAATTGGCTTGCTACATAGGTGGAAACATCAATTTCTCAAATAATTTAACTACATTTATCATGTTCTAGTCTGAATCTTCATTTTATTAATAAAAAAAATACTCTTACATGCCCCTCGATAAATTACTCGATTGTATCGAACTTGACCGGACCTAAATATGGATATCGAAATACTCACATTTGTCATTGACATTCCTAGTCGAGCTTAATTAGCTAGCTAGCTACTAGGGGTGAACAAACACACCCGCAAACCGACCCACCCGTCCAACCCGACCCAACCCATCCGTATTTATCGCTAAATCGAAGGTTTTGGGTTGGGTGAGGGTTTTCTTTTGTACAACCCGCCTCTTTTGGATTGGGTTTGGATTTTGGATTACACAACCCGTAGAACCCGACCCAACCAGTGTTCCAATTGTTGGTATGAGTTCGTATCCAAAAAAATATTTATGTCGTATATAGTCATACTTATGAGAAAATTAAGATATTTCACCATGTTTTTTCTCTTAAAGTCTCACTAATCTAATGCATTCTTCAACTTAAAGTTTAGACATATATTTAATATAGCTATGATTCATGTAAATTTTTTTTCTTGTGTACAATTTTAAAAGAATATCATATTATGGATGCGTTCATTTGTAACCTTTTTAGCCTATTTCAACAAATGTCGTGAAAAAAACTAGACATAAGTTGAAGTAAATCAAGTTTTATTAAAATTCAAACAATATTTGTGAATTTTGATACCTTTCACCTCGGTTTATTCGTTTGAATTTTTAATTTGTTATAAAATATTTTTATGATGTAGAATAATTACATATTTTGTGTTGGGTTGGGTTTTTACTTAAAAATATCGCCAACCCGACCCAACCCAATTAGAAACAAACCGTAAGGTTTAGATTTTTTTGGATGGGTTTGGGTTTAATATTTCCCAAACCGTAGTGCATGGATCGGGTGATTAAAATGCCTAAACCTGGACCACCCGACCCATGTACATGTTACTGTTGTGGTATATGATCCACGATTGAACTTCTCCCAACAACTCGAGTTATTGGGATCAACTGGTTTATGACAACCCCTACTAGCTACTGGAACAAAGCACTTGCCCTAGCTTGTTTGTAAATGCGGCGCAATGGTCAAAACTACAGAACAAGGATTTTTTTCAGTTGGTGTGAAGTCTTGGAATCCAAGGCTTGAGTAATGCAATTGTAATTGTAGGCTTGGACAAGTCAAAGGTAAATAATATTGGAGCGCTTTCGTTTGTTTATAGGAGGAGGACTGCCACATTGCCAGGTTAGGTTTTGGAGCACGACATGCATGGATAATATGCTGGGCCCAAGCCCGACCGGCCAACGAAAATGACCCCGTTGAAATCTGGGCGCGGCTTCGGATCTTGGTTTCGGATGTTATTAGGGGTGGCTATACGGTCCGGTCCGGTTAAATTGGACCAAATTGATTCGGTATCAGTCCGGTCTTTTCGGGAATATAAGGAACAAAGATTGGATTGGATACAGTCCGGTCTTGATCCGGTCCGGTCTTGACTCTGTCCGGTCCCAATTTTATCTTGATTTTAGGTGTTGGGGGTCTCTTATCCGGTCTTTTTATCCGGTTTTTTATCTCAAACCTAAACCCGAATATGAGATTACATTGTTTACTATCTGGTCCCGGTCCGGATTATACGGTCCGGTTTTGGATAAAACCAAACAGTCCGGGACCAAATAGCCAGCCCTAGATGCTACGGCCGGACGGGGCTTTTTTTTTTTTTGGGCGGGTGGATTACAAGTTCATTCGTTTTAAAGAGATGAAATTTTTAAGTATACTATTTCACATCACAGAGTTTGAAAATGTTGCTCCATCGCTGCTCTCATCTAAATCAAAAGTCATTCTATAAGACTTTGTTGTTCCTTTTGTCATAAAGACATCGAAATCGACAGAAATAGAGTCTGATATACGAACTCATACTACTGACATGTATCTTCTTAACGATTCATGGTATAGTCAATTGTTATACTCTCATAGAGTTGTTATGCAATCGTATTAATATACAGAATTGTCGATGTATATATAATAGATTAACAGAGTTTGATCGACAAAGGAAAAAATGGAAAAAGAAGAAGGGGATGCAAAGCGCAGCCTCATATATAAATATATAATAGAATAAATGTATTATACGGGGTTTATACGTGTTTACTAGGGTTGGTTTCAAATTGATCCATCCGCTTACTATCGAGTTGGTATAATTGTGATCCGCAATCCACCCACATTCTTTTGTGAGTTGGGTTGGGTGGGTGGCGGATGGATGGTTGTTGTTGGGTTGTGGGTTGACCCGCAAAAGCAATTCTCCAACTAGCATTAAGAAAGCTGACTAACATTTATAGTAAGTTCCTCGCAAAATTTGAAAGACTGTATCAATTGAGACACTTACAACTTTGTCTCATGTGAACCCATGCAGTATTTACATTAAAATTTTCATTACAACCTATTGTGTAGACAAAACAGACGACATTTAGCGACTTTGATACAATTAACAGTTTAGAATCTTCATCCCAATATCTAATAGATATTACACAACACAATAACCAATAATAAGTTCAAAACTATTCTTTATTCTCCACTTATAGAAGTAGATGGTCAGCGTGTACTGGGGTTAAAAAATATAATGAATATTCGATAGTGTAGAAACAACATTTTTCATGTGAAAATATGGTGCGGGTCATTCGGGTGACCCGCAATCCACCCGCCACCCACCCACATAAGTACGGGTAGGAGGTTTATTATCAACCCGCAATCCACCCATATCAATCACCCACTACCTGCGGTTTAGGCTATTTGTGGGTGGATTGACATCAAACAGCAGACTAATTATTTACAAATTAGGTTATTCTCTAATTGCTAATTTGTCACCTCTGGTGACAAAAATGGACGACTACCAATCTACCGGGCCAGTTAGACCTTGGGCTTACGGCCCAACGCCGGACTCCTGACTCCAAAATGGCCGAGAAAGCATCAAAGCAATCGTAAGCCCAACATCAACTCCAAAGTTCAAACTCATTGTTTATCCCCTAGACTCGGCCCTGCAAGTAGTTCGCCCGCCGCAATCTCTTGGGCCGACCGACGGTAGAATACTGAATTTGCATGGGATCTCACGTATTGTCGATCGGTTCGCCTGCCTGCCATTAGGGGTGGCTATATGGTCCGGTCCGGTCCGGTTAAATTAGACCAAATTGATCAGGTCTCAGTCCGGTCTTTTCGGGAATATAATTAAGGATAAAAAATTGAATTGGATACAGTCCGGTCTTGACCCGGTCCGGTCCCAATTTTATCTTGATTTTAGGTGTTGGGGGTCTCTTATCTGATTTTTTTACCTTAAATCTAAGCCCGAATATGAGATTGCATTGTTTGCTATCTGATCCCAGTCCGAGTTATACGATCCGGTTTCGAGTAAAACCAAACAGTCCGGGACCAAATAGCCAGCCCTACCTGCCATGGGCAAACGCCAAACAGTTGATCGATTAGTCGGTTTACTGTTCCAGATTCTCCATTGACAAATAGATGGGATTATTATTTATTACTTATTAGGGTACAGACTTACGTGGAGCCACTGTATATAGAACATGCATGCTGGTTTTGCTGTACATTATACTGTTGAAATATATATAAGAAAAGGTGACACTTCTTCAAGTCTCTCTTTTGGCTCTCGACTCTCGTCCGTCAATTTTGGGCCGGTGTTGTCACAGTCTTCAGCACCGGCCGATAGAGCCATGCACGTTCTCATTACATATCTATGCTTTGCAAGACAACAACAACAACTGATCAGTTCACGATATTTTGCTTTCCTTTCGTGTACTCCAAATCTCCAATAATGGTATTCTTTTTGGTGTTTCTATAAGAGAGGGGGTAGGTAGTCAAGTATTTTTCTTGGAGGTTGGTTTGGTCCTACGGATTGTAGATTTTGGATGGAAACTCTAGACATAATTAATAAAGTGTTTGAAAGAAACCAACGTCGTCGATGTATCAAAGACGTGCGCAGAAATGGACATCACAGAAATTATTTCTTCAAATTAAGATTGTTTCTCGATTTTTTCCCCCCTTCTCTTTACCGACCGATCGAACGCGTGAACTACACACGCGGGCTATGATGTTATGAATCTTTAATGATCGGGTTTGTTAATGTCGGGGATTATATAAGATTCATTATCAAGGGGGATCTCGTAACAACACTGTTATTTGAACAAACTGGATTCTAATGTGGCGTATCACATGTCTTGTACGTGTTTGAATCCTTAAGGTGTGAAACACATGTGAGATCTTCATTTGAGGGGGCATGTAATAAGAAAATTGTATAAGATCTATTTTTAAACTTTTTCAACAATTTGGGTTGCATATATCCGCTATGAATTAGCATAGCAGCCGATAAGTTTTTGGTAATTGAGTGTTTATCACGTACAAAATTATCCGACCAATCCATTTTTTTTGTTACCATCAATCATGGGCAACAAACTATAGCGTCTTGTTGTGTTAACCATTGCACATGGACGATACTTTCAGAGACTGCAACACCATGATTACTTACCCAAAGCCTAGGAGCGGCTGTCGTGTTTTTTTTCTTTTCACTTTGATTCCCGAAAGCCATTGGGGTTATTGTCTTTTCACCATCGTTATTCTCCTCTTTTAGGGGGCAAATAATATGCTTTTAGATTCTGTTTCTGATTGCTTTTCATTGGCCAATCATCTGAGATTCCGATGCAAATAAAGATCCAAAACCCTAGTGTTTCACAACAGTGGATGAACAATAGCGTGTTAATTTGTTCACAGTATTAACATGTTTGTTCACCCAGTATTTTTAGCTTTTTCAAACTAGTCTAAGAATCTGGAGGTCTCAGGTTCAAATTCCTTGAATAGTACCTTAATAAATAAAAAAAAGTAAAATTTTATATCACCCTTATAAAAAAAAATCTCATGAAGATTGGATCCTTTCTTTTTTCGTTTTCTTTCTCCGGATTGTCGCGCATCATTCAGCTGGTGGACACTCATACGACACTAGAGCAAGCTCGGAATCTCGAGTTATCTCGTGCCTAAATTCGTTATCACAAACCAAGCGCGCTATGCACGACTTCTAGCTCCGACAGGGCCGCCCAACCTCCCCCTAATGGGCCCAAGCCTTTTCTACTTGCCAATAATGGTTGGGCCTGCCCCTAGGCCCATCTAATATAGCCACCACCATCTGAACAAGTGAACATCAATTGGGCATCATTAATTGAAGCAAAACCAAGCTTGATTTCTTTATAACATTGTGATTAGAGCGACGTCACGTATAATTACCAAACCCGTCTTTGCAAACACAAGTCTTTTGCGGTGATGCAATCGTCGTCTCCGGCCGGGACCAATTCGTTGGGAGTCGCTATTCTGCTGTTGGGCTTTTGTCGCCGGCCGGGGGAAAAAAAAAAACCGCCCCTAGCTAATTGGTCCTTGTCCCCACATCATTTTCCGACACCATCCCGTGGGACCCTTGTGTTTGCTACAACAAAGTCTACACCATTTGTTTTTCATGTTATCTTCATTTTATTTTCAATTAAGATAGTGTTGAAAATTAGTGGACTGCCCATAAAAAAAAAATTTAGTGGACTGTTGTTTTTAGCAAGGGGATTGAAATGCCGTACCGGAAAAATTAGCGGTAGGTGATTTAATCATAGTTCAACTGCTTCATACTGCCTATCGATTTAGTCTCTAATAGGAAGTTTTTCTGGTTGAACCGTCCATACAGTACGGTATTTCAATCCTTGGTTTTTAGCCCATTTGCCCAAGAGTGAAACATGCCACCGCTTGCCTATGGGGATGCTTTGCTTGCTAGTTGTTATTAGCTGGTGGATGTGAAAGTCTGAGATTTCTACACCAAAAGAAGTTTGTCTCCCTCTTATAAATATCTTCTTCCTTCACATCTCGTGTATTTTGTGAAGTTTAACCCATACCAAATCAGTTAGAATTGATGCTATAAGATTCACAATTGATTGCAATTAATGCACTGGAATTGTTTACCAATTGATTGCAATGCAAACTGGGCAACTATAAGATCAGGTTGGTTACCTAAGTCGAACTCGTCGCGAAACTATCCATGCATCCAACCTGCATTATAACTCTTATTAAACCATAATATCGGTTATAATCTGATGACCCACAATGACCTATAATTGTCATGTTCGATTTATATCCCATTTGTCTCGATGGTGTTTATCAAATATGTGATATATATATATATATACGCCCCTATTACACTCTTCCGATATGTCATTGTTGCATTGGAATTAGAGATCTAACAACGTAGAATGTGACATGCTCCTCTCAAACGATATGATTTAACTCCATCATGATATTAATATTATGGGTTGACCTTTACCATTCACTTAATTATTATAATTAAGGAAGACATTGACGGCCCAGCTCAACAAACCCTCAACACGAAATTAGCTTGCCTCTCCTTCATTTCCTTGTCGCTCGATCGACAGTCGTTTTGCTTTCCTTCTTCAAATTTGAGTAGTAATTAATAAAATTGAGAGAATCTCTGTGCCTGCTTGACATGATTTAACTACTAATTATCTTCCTTCCTCTCCTCTCGTCTGCGTTTAGTTTAGTTTAGTTTAAGAGAGTACTCAGAGCACAGCTTTAGAGATAATTAATTTAAATCATCGGTTGCAGTAGTTGGGATGTGAGCATCATCATGAGAGAAGCTTAGCTTAGGAAGCTGACAAAGACTTAAAAAGCGATGGAGCGCTTAGTGATGCAATCAATTGGTCTGGAATCATATGTACAACCATAATTAATAGCATATAAGAAAGAAAATGATCGAGGTCGATAATTAAGCAGCTATAGGCCTTTTTCAAGTGTGTTTTTTGTGTGCATGAACCGAACCTGCTTCTCGAAATATTAGCAAATGTGCTCAGTGCATGCCAACCAAAGATAATGTCATTTTACTAACTTTACTGTATGTCTTTAGAGCAAACACAAGGGTTGGCCCTGCTTCTTTTTCGAATTAAGCTCACTATTCCTTACTTTTTTTTTTCTTCTTCTTTCTTGGGTCTTAATTGTTTTTCCTCTTTTCTGATCATCATATAGACTGGCGTACGTCAGACGTATACTATATGTCAGGTACTACTAGTGAGATATCTCTATCTAGATCATGAATTAAATCGAGTTTGGGGTATGATACTATACCCTAACCTCTAATGGACCGTTGAGATCGGCCGGAGCTTATCTAACTACATCTAACGACTAGATCACCTGACGTATACTATACGCCTGACGTACACCAGTATTCACCATATATATATATATATATATATTCTAACCTAATACATGTGTTTGGCTATTGAGGATGTTGATGGGTTGGAGAGAATATAACTAAAAACGTATTGTTGATTCGTATATAAAGACGTTGCAGGAATACGAGAGTGTTTGAAGAGACTCAATGAGACTTTTGTAACAAATTAGGAGAATATTAATAAGCGTTAAAAGTATAAACGGTCTTAGTGGATACGCAAGAGAAATTAATACGGCGAGGAAAAAGGATTTCGTAAGGATTTGAGAAATGATAATCATGTGTGATGTTCATTTAATCCTGAAATGACGTGATTTTTGCTAGTTTATTATTGTCGTGGACTCACGGTATGAATATAGAGATGGGGCGAGGATATCATAACGCTTCAATTATTTTCTGAGAGAATTTGATTGTTGATAAAATGTGAGGAATTTCTTAGAGAATTTATGAGAAAATGCATGTATTCCAATTTCTCCATTTTTGAAATGACGGTTTAGTTTGAAATGCAAAACCCTAAAGCCTAGAGGGTATCCCCTCAACCACAACCAACATTTCCTTCTCTTTTGTTTTCTCTCATGATGAGAAGGAATATGTAAAGAGGAAGCCATTCTTTAAACTATATATGTTCGAATTTCAAAGCTAAAAATGATTCATCAAAGAAAACAAAAAGGTTGGAAGGTGGGGATTGTTAGAAAATAAAAAGAGTCCCTTTGATGCAACAATACGAAGTGGGAAACTTGTGGGGGCACATTTCTCTGTTCCCCTTCAATTTCCCCCCAAACAATATCTCAAACAAAATTCAATAATAATAATAATAATAATAATTTATGAATTATTTATTGAAAAAACATAAATTGTGTCTTCTGCCAGACAGCCACACACCTAAAATTTGTCACAAGTAGGGATGACAATTAAACTTATGATCATGAATATCCGATCGTCTTTGATAAACTCAATGCAGAGAATTCTCGTATTAACCGGATATGGTAAACCTGGAAATATATATATGATGTGGATATGATTTTGGGATGCTTTGAACTTGAATTAACAACAGTTATAAGTTTATTGAGTTGATGATTATAATCGATAATATACATGTTTCATAGGATTTATTGTACTGATTTTACGTATAATAGTATTGGATATACATAATGGATATTATCAACGGGTATCCAAAAATTGTGAATATAAGAATGAAGTTGCAAAACCTCTTATGCCGTTATATACGAGAAATGTAAAAATTTGTGTGTTGCTAAATAAAAATAGAGATAATTTAGAAGAACCCGCTCAAAATGGACCATTTGTCAATCACAAATAGGGTTGTTAATGAACCAAGCCGCTCATGAACGGCTCGGTGTCCGACTCGAGAAAAACTCGTTCGACACTCGATTCGTTTTAATTGCGTCGGTTCGCGAACAAGTTCGTTAACTAAACGAGCCGAACTCGAGCCATATACCATGTTCAGCTCGAAACCTCGCGAACAAGTTCATTTAATGGTTTGGCATAAAAAGAAAGTATTAGAATTCATGGATTTCATGTATTGAAATTGGGATAAATATTGTGTTTTACTTTGATAGACTTTGCTACAGGTTTGAATATAATTTTGTGCTCGCGGTTCTCGGTCAATCTTGAGCTATCATGAACATTTTATGAGCTGAACTTGATTTTGGACTCGTTAAACTTATTTGACGAGCCGCGAGCTCGCGAACTTTCATTTTCATAAACGAGCCGAGCTCGAGCTTGCATATTATAAAACTCGTGACGAACACGAACCGAGCTCGAGCCTGAAAATATATTAACGAGCCGAATCCGAACAATGACAAAGCTCGACTCGATTTGGCTCAGCGGTAATTACAAACACGAAACAAGGCATAGTTTTACATACATATCCCTGCCCAAAATTAAAACAATAATAAATAACAAATACCGTAATATCTATCTGGTTCCCGCTCTATATATATATAAACCAAATCCCACAAATCCAAACCAGGAATCAATTCACTTCCAACAAATTCCAAATTTCCCCTCTTCTCTCTTTCTCTGAAAAATGGAAACCTCTCAACAGCAGCAGCACCCGCTCTCAATCGAGAGCTTCTCCTACAGCTGGCTCGCCGCCAACCTCAAACCCTCGCTGGAAACCTTACTTGACGCCGCCGCCGCCGCCGCCGACGAGTACTCGCCGGCTTCCAGTTACATCGAGATGGACCCCCACATGCCGCCGTCCAAGAGGTTCTTCCGAAGCTACTCCTCCTCCCACGAATTCAACTTCGAATTCCCGGCCGATCACTCGCCGCCGATGAACCACGCCGACGAGCTCTTCGCCGACGGCTACCTCGTGCCTTTCTTCCTCCGCAAGGCGGCGAGTCACCGGAACCACTGCGACGACGATTGTGAAGACGAAACGTCGTCGAATTCGGTTGCTTCAAGCCCCGACTCAACCGGCTCGACCATCGATGATAGACCGGTTCGGTCGGGCCTGAAGAAAACGCGGCGGTGCTCGTCGTTTAGGCGGGTTGTGGAGAAGTACTTGGAGCTAATTGGGCCGCTGTTGGGCAAGTTATCGGGCCGCCGAGGTGGGCCCAAGAACCGGAGGTCATTGAGCTCGAGGTCGGAAGGGATGGTCATGGATAGTAGTAACAAGAACAAGAAGAAGTTGATGATGAAGAGATGGCTGTCCTCCTCCGGCGAGTCGTCGCCGCGGCGGGTCAGCGCGGCGTATTCGGAGGACGGCTGGCGGAGATCGGCTTCGTCGTCATGTGATTCCGAGAGCTCGATTCGAGAGGCCGTCCTCCATTGTAAAAAATCTTTCGGTAAGCGCACATATACTTACTATTAGTTTACTAGGATTATGGCCGACCTGTTGAGTTGTCACATCTTTGTTATAATTATAATCGTAATTACGTGTTTACTAAGGCATTTAAATTGGGGATTTGTCTAATCAAATGGTCAATTATGTTGCTATTTCAGGGAAATGATGGGATTTTTGGATGGAGATGAAGTTTGGAGGGGAAATTAGCAAAAAGGAAGAGAAGGGAGAAAGGAACAAATAATGAGATTGTCCATATTATAGATAGAATTCACATGGAGGATGGCTAGGCTGGAAATGAGAGGGATATGTTTCTTCCACTTGTTTCTTGTTCTTCTTTCATGTTAATTTTTCTTCTTCTTCTTCTTCTTTCTCTGTTGGTGCCCAGCTGGTGGTGGAGATGATATGAGAGGTGTAAATTTGTTGATAAGAGAGGAAAGCTAGCCACATGGTTTTTTTTTTTTTTGTAATGGTGAGGAGAAAGGGGGAAAACTAATTAGTTAATTAATTAGATTTATGGAGGAATTATATATATATATATATATATATATATATATATATATAAGATATTTTGTTCTTCCTTTATCTGTGGTTGGTTCATATTAATGTTTGTTTCCATGGAGGGGAAGAGAGAGCAGGCATGTCCACAGGCTTGAGAGTTGAGAGCCTCCTTTGCCTTGTTTTATTAACATAGTTTAGTCGGTGATAATATGAAGATCGTTAGACTTATTGGTTATCAGTAATCTCAATACGAAAGATTTACTGATTTACGTATGTTGCCAGTTTTGCGGATAACTAAATGATGTAAGACATTCAATTGGGTGTTTGAGGAGGTGAAATAATCCATGCAAGTATCTTTAAGTTCAGAAAGCAACTGAGTTATTAATATTGGACTTTCATTGATGAATAGTGATATAACTGTCACCTGTTTATTATCCAAGGGACTCCATATTCAAAAACCTTAAATGCTAGTTTGGTGAGGCCTTTGGATGAAGCATCTTGCTTTTAGATATATCATATGTCACTCTCCAACACGCCCCCTCGAACGAAAGCCAACTCATGGACTTGAAGTTTGCACAGGCTCATCATGCCATGTGCTTGAAAGACAACGGTTAATATTGGGGGTCGTGGAGATATACCACTCTCTAATTCCGATTGTAGCAGGTAAATTTTATTTACACTGAAAATGTGAAGGAAGAGCGGTAAAAAAAATTTATCACAGGTTCAGACAATTAATTACATGCACATGCCTTAAACTCCAATCAATATTATTGTTGTTCCCACCATAGCCATAAAGTAGTTTTCGGATGCAGATATCATCAATTATTTGGGCTTGTTGCTATTTAGGATGAGAATTAATGGAATGTGGATCCCTCAGCCATTAATTAACCTAACTCCAACTATAAATTTTGAGGGCAATATTAACCGTAAGTGCATACGCAACAACTAGTAATTCATAACTTGGTCAAAACTCAAAAGCAAAAGCTCCCTAGCTTACTAATAATCACATCCTTGGGTTAATGACTATAGGTAGAAGGCTAATTATTTATGTATCTAGACGTTCTTCTAAAACAGTCACGATATCGTACCATATTGATTTTTGGTACCTTCACACTTCTGGTTGGTGGTCCTTTGTGCTTAATCATTCTAGAATACAATATAGTTAAAGTTTAACTTGATTAATGATTAAGATAATTTATCGTTAAGATGAATGAAATGGATTAAGTGTACAACCAAAAACTTAAACCTAAATTTTTTTGCAATGAAATGGAAGGATGAGGAAATCTAGATGTTATTCTACAACAGTCACGACCTCGTATTGATCTTTAAAAATATTTATTTTAGACACTTTCGCAACTTCGGGTAGTGTACAACCAAAATGTTATGCCTGAAAATTTTTGGCAAGGAAATGGAGACCTAAAATTTTTTTGCAATGAAATGAAAGGACGAGAAAATCTAGATGTTCTTCTACGACAGTCACGACCTCGTATTGATCTCTAAAAATATTTATTTTAGACACTTCCGCAACTTCAGATAGTGCACAACCAAAATGTTATGCCTAAAAATTTAGGCAGGGGAATGGAGGTGCGGGGAATCAAACCCCGTGCCTCTAGCATGCGAAGCGAGCGCTCTACCATATGAGCTACACCCCCTTATTGCTCACATTATAGAATCAATCCTTCAAGTTGTGCCCAAAAAAATATATTCATTAGAATTCATCTTAAAGGTTATATCATTTCACAATAAACTGATTCCTTTGAACCTCAAAATTAACATGATGATTGTAGCGATAAAAAATAATAATAATTCAATTCATTCAACATTCAAACCTTGATATATATTATTATCTGACTATATTATTGTTTTGTTGATATCCCATTAATTAATTATATCGGATTTTTTCACTGAGATGGAAAAGGGTACCTTTTTAGTGAATCTGACTATAGAATGTTTTTGCCTTAATGATTGATTGGACTTTAGAATGTTAACACTCGAGTGATTTGACAAACCATACTTTCGAAATAACTAACAAATCCAGTTCGAAAATATTTGTGGATGAAAACGATTAGTTAAAAGAGTGGAAATTATATTTTCCCACTTTCTGGGGCCCTTCAATAACGGGAACGGTGTATGGCCTGATAAATTGATAATGACAATGATATTACACATTGGGCCCTTCTCACCAAACGAAGGCCCAATTGGTAAAAAAAAAAAGAAAATAATAATACAACATATTATGCAGTGCTAGACAGACAATGTAAAAACCCTAAGCCAATAACTAAACCAATTGCCAATTAATCAATCATTAAACATGTGAATTTGACATGGTAAGGATTTCGATGAACTTGATTAAGATTGCGCGAGTTATGAAACTGCTGACACGTCTCGATAAGGAAATTTAATTTCGATTATTCCAGAGTGCAGTCACATTCGATTTCATATTCGAGTATAAATCGTCGAAATGAAAAATCTTGAATTGATGACGATTGTGATGACTTTTGATAAGGAGTCCGCGCGATCACATGACATGTAACCGGATAGAGGGGACATGGACAAAATGTGCTAGGAGAAGTAGCCAAACTTTTGATTCATCAGTTTGGTTTGTTTCCATCTTCCACTACTTCCCTTTCCTTTCTTTTGTCTTCCACTTGTAGGGATATGTCAACAAAAAGACGAGCAAATGCCTTAATGACATTTGTTTTCCTCTTGTAAACTATATGGTTTACATAGAGAGAGAGAGAGTCGTGGGGGACCTTCAAAAACATATCCTACAACTGTATTGATTCTTGGGTCACTGTTCGACATTGACAAACACACACACATACAATTCATCACCCACGTTATGTTTTATATAGTTGAGAGTCTCCTCTCCTCCACCAACATTTTGCCCATTTGGAAACAAAAATCCAAGATATATAGTACATATATGCTGATGTGGAGGAGGATAATGTTGTGGGTCTTCAATACTATCCTCAAATAATGGGGGGGTTTTCCCCCTTCTTCTAAGAGGCTTTTGGAGTAAGAGATGTCCTTGAGTTGGAGAGATATGAAAGAAGTGTTATATGATAGTTCTTGGCATAAATGCATCCTCAATTTATCCTAGTAGTTGAAGTTGGATAATTTCAATAACTTGTCGTCGGCGGAAGAGATTTGAAAGTACGTACCTGCTGAAATCGAATAGTACCATAGTACGACGATATTGATTGTTTTCGGTCAGGTCTGCACGATTTTACTTTTGGGTTCCTTCCCCCAAGAAGTCTCGCACTAATGAGGTTGATGGACACTAATATATAAGGGTGAAGGGGTCTCTTCCACTGTATTTTATTTTCGATGTGGTACTTGAATTGTCCAATAACAAAAATAATGTTTTAGTGACTACCATTAAAATGAAAGACAATCTTGGAGGCGAAACCTTTATTGACCCAATTCCGACCTACATCTAACAGAAGAGCTGTTATAAACGCGCTGCTACGGATCGGGAAATCGCCGGAATCGACAAAGCAAGAAAACGAAAGCGAGAATCGAAAAAACACGACACACGATTTACGTGGTTCACTAACACGATGTGTGTTAGCTACGTCCACGGGCGAGAGAGAGAGTCAGTTTCACTATATCGAGGAGATTACAGATTACAGAGAAGTATGAGAAATATTTATAGTACTTCTCCATGTGGGTCTAAACCTAATCCAGCGAGACCCCCGATTACCAGTCGTAGCGGCTGATAGTCCGATTCAAGTCACATCAACAAGAGCCAATGGAATTCAACCATATTCACCATATTCAAATGACAAGTTGGAAAGAGAAATCGACAACTATATGAAAACAAAATGGAAACTAAACCAAGAGAAGATGAGATTTGCTCTTCCCTCCCTCCCACACAACCTCATGATTTTGGGACAACATTTGATTAGTTGGGTAAGGGAAAAAGAAAGAAACGAAGACAGACAAACAGGGGAACAGATGCCTCGGGGAAGTAGCTTGTGTCGGCTGCAAATCAGACCAACGGGCCGCTCAACTGATTAGCCCGAAGCTCTAATGAAACCTAGCATCATATTAATAATGACTTGTAGTAGTTCCTACAGCTGCAAAAGAATAACTGCAGCTGAAAAAAAAAAATCGAGTTATTAGGATCAGTAGGTTTATGATTTGGTACAAGAGTCCATTTGTCCTTGGCCAGGTCACGTGTTCATAAAGTCCTCATAACCCTCATACTAACCATTGTCTTAAAACACATAATATGGCGGACTTGTCCAAAAACTCAAGATGGGTATGTTCAAACTTCAACCTCTCATAAGTTAACTTTGGTTTGAGGGACCTGTAAGCGTAGTTAAGTACTGTACTGTTATAAACGCGCTGCTACGGATCGAAAATCGACAAAGCAAGAATACGAAAGCGAGAATCGAAAAACACAGACACACGATTTACGTGGTTCACTAACACGATGTGTGTTAGCTAGTCCACGGGCGAGAGAGAGCCATTTTCACTATATCGAGGAGATTACAGATTACAGATTACAGAGGAGTATGAGAAGTATTTATAGTACTTCTCCATGTGGGTCTAACCCTAACATTGAACCCATACACCGCGAGACCCCCAACTAATCCAGTCGTAGCGACTGATAGTCCGATTCAAGTCACACCAACACGTACATTAGCCTCTCCCAACAATTCGAATTATTGCAACCATACGAGATTTAACAAACTAACATTAGTTCAATCCACTACTCCCTAGAAGGCTAGCTAGATCTCCCATGTTCATCGGCTGCCATGCATGGCCAGATCGTGCACGTAATTAAGGTAGGTGCATGCATCTGGCAGCTGCATGTGTTCGAATATCCTGCGAGAGCTGTTCGGTCTCCGAGGTTTAGGCTTCGGTCGTTGTGGTAGAGAGTAGAGAGAGTTGAATGATACAGAGAAGAATGTCAACGCCAATTCGACAGGCATCAGACAGTCAGACATGGAGACCGGTGGGATATGGGCATGCAACGAACGAATTGACTTTAGCTTACTCGCTTCTGGGGTGTGCAGTTAGGGATGACAATAGATCGCGTTAAATTGGATTTTTCTAAATCGAATCAAATATGTACATCTATTAAAAAAAAAATACTCGATAAAAATACTTATTAGGTTTTAAAGAGCAAACATGTTCCAACCAAACTGATATCCAAATGGGTGGAATTAAGAATATAACTATGCTTTACTTCTCCGAACATAAACATCGTAATATTAAAAAAAAAGTTCCTACAAATATATCTTTGTCGACTAATTAATAACGTCCATAAATTAATTTATATTGTTCATTTTAGATACAAAATGACGTTGTTTTTATTTTTGGGTGTGGGTTGGAGTCGGATGGAAAGAGGGCCCAACCTGCCAGTTTTAAAGCCGGTAAAACCGTCACCCGATCCAAGACCTATCAACACTGGGTTTTACTCGGTTTGACTGGGGTCGGGTCGGATTGGATACTCGTGGGTTCGGGTTCAATTTTCTTTCCCATATGCAACGGTTTGGTCTATACCGTATTGCACCGAACCAAACCATAATAAACTAAATATAGTGTAGTCCGATCCTTGATATCGTGAATTGTATAAATACTAAAGAAAAATAGACCCAATTGAATTATGGACCGAACGAAATTGGACCAAATATAATGATGGTCCATCCTTAATCCTAGAATATCTTTAACTATCGAACCAAAGTTCTCATAAAAAATTTTAAAATCGTTTCATTAGTCCGCATTAATTAGGATGAAGGGCCATGAAATAGGTTTTCTTAAAACGATTCAGATTCTTTTTTTCTTAATTACCTAAGGTAGTTTAGGGAAAATCGTTATTTATAATTACGATTTTTTTTTTTTTTTTTGAAAGACTGTTTGGAATAGGTGGCTCGGTGTTCGCCGACGGGCGTAGTTACAAGCTTACAATTAGTTTGTAGTTAATTAAGCAAAAGTCTGCAAAAATATTCCTTTGGTTTTGGACACGTAGTCGCTGCCAGCCGAACTCGTTACCGCTGGGCCGAAATGATAAGCAGATAGGCTGGAGCCCATAAGTTGGCAGATCAAACACTTTTGATTTAGAGACTGTCATTAGGCTCAGGCCCATCACCTAGTTGAGCCCAAATTTAAGGTCAACAGATCGGGTGATATGATTAGGACGCAGCAGAATCTTCTTCCCCACGCAAATGGAAGAAGCCACAAAACAGGAAGAAGAACACTGGATGGAGCTCCTTCTGCAACTTCCCATTTGTCGGAAGTCTCTGATACACTGCCCGACATACATCCACCGGCCTTAGATCTTCGACTCGAGACACAGGATTTGGAGCCATGAGCACTTAGCAGAGCAATATTCTCACAGTCCATTCATGAGTTCCCAAATTAGTCCCACTCCGGACAAATGGGAAGTTGCAGATTAGTGTTTGGACACAGCACTTCGCAATTGAAACCATTTGCTTTTGCCACCACAATCTGCATCCTATTGTCCTTTGCAGAAGCAACTTCTAGCATCCGAAAGCTGATGATTCTTGTGTCGTCTGCTTTTTAGATGTGATTTTGCTTGATTCCATCATTCATGCACCAGATTTTGCTTGATTCACGCCATTGCCTCGGGCTTTCCACATCACCACACTGTATCTCCCCCCCAACTCCAGCTCGAGTTTCCTCCTCTTGTACCTTTTACAGAAGTTGTGATCATTCTCATTCTGATGAAGGCCACCATGTTGCGGAGATTCATGTTGTTTGTTTTGACTTCGTTGTTGCAGCATCATTGGAATTCCGGGAGCTAGCTTTGGAGCTTGAATTGGAAGGGGGCCATGGGCTTGATTCAGGGTTTGCTGGAGGTTTAGAAGATGGATGCGAACTTGGCGACCTTGGATTGGAACCGGGTCAAGGACTGAAACTGCCAAGCACCCATATTCACATTCCAGTTAGTAATAAACAACCAAAGTTCAGTTGCAGCAAAGGGTTCAAGAGATGAAAACCCAGAATTACAGTTCACAACATGCGTCACCTTAGGAACAAAGAATAGCTGGCTTGCTCAAAATCACGTTGGTTGGTTCCTAATCCATCTCTGGGGAACTCAAGAGACAGATAATGAAGATTCAGGAGGAACATAGATACCATCAAAGGCCTGAAATTTCTGCAAAACTCAGCTTCAGGAATGTGCTTCATCTGAGCAACTTTTTTCCTGTACTCCACTGACCGAACTGAAACTGAAGAGAGGGAGACCGTAAGTTTGCAGATCAAAATCCTCCATGTACACGTTGTTATTGGGCTCAAGCCCGTAACCTAGTTGACTCCCTTTCTATCCACAGGCTACAGCCCATTCAGTAAATTCTCCTTGCAGAAACTGGAAAACTTTACAGAAAACTTCCATTCTTCCATTACTACATAGAAGCCATATACTGCATATTTTTTACACTGCCACACAGATCACTCGTCAGACAGAGCACACAGTCACAGGAACTCTCCCAAATTTCACCAAAAGGCCGTCGCGGCATCGTCCCTCGCGTGGCTACTAGCCTGATCCCATAAAACTTCCCCAACCCCGAAAAAAACCCGCCTCAATGATCTTGCAGCTGCTGCTTGACATTGTTAGTACTGCCATCCGATCCTTGATGGTCGAAACCAGCCTCGACGTCCTTGCAATCGGAGTTGGCGAACTTCAGGTAATGCTCGACGTCCCTGGTCTCCGAGCTCCCGGTCCTCCGATGCAACCACTTCAAGTGATGGTGGCCGCGGCTGCTGTGCTTGGGCTTCCTGTCGCTGATGGCGATGACAATGTCGTTGGGGAAGAGGTCGCGGAGAACGAACGCGTGCAGGATCGTGGACACCAGCAGGCCGGTCACGATGAGCGTAGAAATGGCGCATAGCGCGACTGCGAGTGCTTGTGTGACTACGTTGGTGACCTCGTTCGAGTACCGGATCGTCGCTATGGCTGCACCCGTCATGGGGAACGTGTACGCCCACCATGCCAACGAGAACTTGAATCCTCTGAAGAAGTTGACTCGTACTGCCTGCAAAAAAAAAAGAGTTGGGAAATCAAACAGTGATTTAGAAATCATTTTTAGGCAAGGATTCCAAAATTTGCTAAATTTAGAGGGGTATCAAGCTACGTTGAATTCAGATTCAATGAGAGATTCAGGAGGGAAATAGAGGCGCTTGTAAGTTACCAGAGAGAAGTAGAGGAACAGAGCAATGAAGTATGCAATCCTGGAGCCATTGTCGAACGACCCTTGAATCTTCGCCCAAGCCATGGAAGCGACGCTAGGAGCCGCGACGAACAGGAAGAACACCGGATGGAGCTCTTTCGGTAATGTCTCGTTTGTAGGAAGCCTCTGATACAGAGTCACGAACAGCACCGTGTAGTGCGCCATCCCAACAGCAAAGAAGAAAATGGGACCTTCCTTCAACCCCATCGACGCCCCCAACAACGCCCCGACGAAGTTCCCCACGATCGACAGATGGTTCGAAGGGTTCGCCACTTTCGACAGCCTCCTCTGCCCGCCGGACATCCACTGGCCGTAGATCTTCAGCTCGAGGAAGAGGAACGGGGCCATGAGGACGTACCAGAGCGCGTGGGGGAGCGTGGTGACGACGGAGTTGGGGAGGCCGATGGCGAGGAAGAGGAGGGCGATCCACGGGGCGAAGAAGAAGTTGACGCGGATCGGGTGGTAGTACTCTCGCCGGACGGCTTCGAAGTAGAGGACCAGTTTGAGGAGGTAGATGGCCGCCACGACGACGAACAGGGCGACCGAGATGGACCAGAGCACGAGGTTGATGTGGTGAGTGATGTGGAGGAACTTGGTGGAAGGGGAAGTGGCGAGAGCCTTCCACATGATTGCTTGGCTGCTGACTCCGAGGCAGATACCGAAGGATGAGACCGGGTAGCGGAGGAGGAACGGCCATGTTTTGTCGTCCGGCAGGACTATTTCTTCTGAAGGCTGTCGTAACAAAGAAACAGAGATGATCAGCGTTGTTACATTACTACGTTCCTTTTTTGTTCTGTTTTTTTATCAGCATTTTTTACAGTCTTAGTCCAAATACGTTCTACCTTGTACAAATTGTGTAATTGTTGATCCATTTGAGGTAAACCATTTAAGCATTTAGTGTGGTGAAACTTCGAAACAGAGGAAACTGTAGGGAGAGCAAAGGAAAACGTACCCTGAGGGTGTCCAATTCAGGGCCTTCGAGCGCATCGAAGTACCGATCTACAGGCAAGGCGTCTTTGTTGCTATCGATCTTCTGTAACACATGTACAACGGAATCTTCAGGCAAAGATTCCTCCCTCGGCTTCCCTCGCAGATGGGAGATCTGCCTCTCGAGCTTTCCCGACCACGTCTTGAAAGAGTCGTATCGGTTGTCCTTCAGCTTCCTAATGGCGGGATTAGGATGGTGGGTGAAGTTGTTCATCTCGATTCCCTGCTCCACCGCAGCTCCGTGCGGCATCGGCTGAGAATGGAACTTCAATTTTGTAGTAGAAGATGACGTATTGGCATCGGCTGCTGCTTTTCCAAGTCGGTCATGGTGATCAATGGCACCTGGAAAAGATCATCCACCGAGATAATTGGTGAGAATGCAGAAGCTTGATACAAGCGTTATTGAAGCAGAAGCAGCAGCAGTTACAGAGTCCTTTTAACTACAGCTACGAGCATTCATATCACCGAAAACCCACTTAAAACGCGTGACACGTGAAAGAGAAAGAGTGGAGAGGATGGAATATTCTGCCATGGGAAGTAGAAGGAGAAAGGGAAAATGTAGTAGTGATATTTCGTGAACTGATCCATCAATTGGGTTTTCAAATGTCGATCAGATAGTACCAAAAAACCAGCCCAAAAGGTCATATGCAGTCAATATGGCACGCCATTTTTTCAGCTGCAACTCATACTTCTTGGTTTCTTTCAGATCAAGTAAGAGGCATACCTTGCAGAACTGTTCTCAGAACTTGAACCACAAATGGCACCAACTGGCAGAGGTGCTTTTGAGGGATGGGTAACGTTAGTTTTTGGTTCCTCGATTCTAAAGCAGATGTTTCCTGTTTGTCCAGAAAACTCAGCGGCAGAAAGATCTCTGTATCTGTATGGACAAAGAAAGGAGAGGAGAAAGAAATGAGCACACAACTGAGACACGTCTTTCCTCTGGATTGGGGAGCCGTATAAATAGACTTTTTTTTAAGTTCTGAAACCCAGAAGGGACAGCGAGTACAAATCAATTACGTCAAACGCCCCCAATTGTTTTTTCATATTATGTTGATAATCACTTCTGCTTATGCCCTGAAAATGAAAGCTTCATGCATAATGACAAAGCAGCTGGTTTGGTGGGCAAAAGGTACAACCCCACCAATTTTTTTCGTAGCACAAATTAGGTTGCAGCACTAGCTAGCTAACAAAAACATCGTGATGTAGCGACATAAAGCTTGTATCTACCTGAACCGTCCCAACTTTATGTACGTTATTATTCACTCTGATGAACACTCTTTTTCGTAACTCAAACCTGCCATTAGAAGTTTCTCAATTGATGTTCTTTTCACCTAGAAGAAGATCAGACCAGCGGCATGATTCCCGGACCAGAAAATATGAAGGTAAGGGGGAAGGAAATGTTACCTATACAGTGAATGAATGGCAGCGGAAGAATAATGCGCCACTATTATTAGGTTGGAGTCCCAACAGCACAAATTAGCAATAAAAGGGGAAAAAACAGCTTGCAGTAGGTAGCTGACCCATTTAAAAACAGTGCGGGACTTTTAATAGATCCAACAGTTTGAAACTGAGCCGTGAATCAATTAATAGAAATCAACGCTGAAACTTAAAAAGAAAGAAAGAAAGAAAACGACCAATCCCCAATCAGTTCTACCCAGCAGAGGCAATTTCACTGAGACAAGCAATGCGAAGAAATGTGCATAAAATCCAAAATTAGCCAAGTAGTAGTTTTAAGTCCCCTCCCATTTATTATAACCCCAGTGCCGTCAACCTCAAACACAGTCTGGAATAGTTTAATGACGAGCTAAATATCAGAAGTAACGAAAACCGGTGCAAAATAGACAATGAGAACCAGTATAAATTAATAAATTTCATTTTCATAATTTAAAAAAGTGGAGGAAAAGGAATAATAATAATAATAATAATAATATAATAATAATAATAACAATAATAATATTGTCGGTTCAGGGCACCAGGCAGACATTATCATTTATGTATACTTGCAGTGCAAGTAGGTGTAGGGACAACAACCGTATATAATGAACTAATGATTTTTCTTTCACGCCTTAACACGAGAAGAGATACCACTAGGAAACACCAATCAACGATTATGTTCTTACCAGTGAGCTGGTGACCTCGTGGTGGTTGCAAAACGCTGGACTGCAGGGGAACATTCTCCAGCTCTCTGTGTTAAAACGACAAACAAGAAAAAGGGATTAAGCTTTAGGTTAGCAAAGTCAAATGTTACTGGGTGAAAACAAATGAAGGAAGATCGACAATAGATTTCCTTATCGGGGAAAATCTTCAGGTAATATGTTTCGATCCTTAAAAAAAAAAATCCCCATGTCGAGCTAGCAGATAAAATATTAAAAAGAACTGGCTGAGCTTAACAGTTAAAACCCACTCCAGTAATGCGCTTATTCATCCGAAAATGGACTCGCTTAAGCTGAGTATGTGTCGTATTACTGGAGTAAGAAGGGGATATTTTCTTTTACACTATTGTACAAACCGACTATCTTGCCTGCACCATGTTTTCAATTGATTGTCGACGTGAAAACTTTTGAAAGGAGTTAATTTGTCAAAAAAAAAAATATTGCTAAAGAATGATTACTTTGGAAGGACAGCGACGAAAACTCACAGCTATTTACCACTAGAAACAAAAACAAAAAAGAGAGAAAAGATGATAGTTTTCATCACAAAGAGCACGTATTGAATATGATTCATCGACCTTTTAAATGTGTAATCAATTACTACCTCAAAAAAACTTCGAAATGACCCATGGTTGAAATCTATACGGCAAACAGTAATAGCACAACCTCTTTCGGATCCACAACTCTTAATGAACTGGTTCATCATGACCCATCACAACTGTAACCCGACCCGAGCTGTGTCTCAGCTCTACGGCCGACATGCAGCTAAATCTAGATCCCTGTAGGCTGGTCACTCACTCGAAATCGAGAGGTATGGACTTGATGCACGTAATATTGGCACAATGGCAAGAATTTCAACCACCCAAACGACAAGGCTTTTTTTTGTCCTTACATGAATGTCGCGTGTGTTTCCCATTTCCTGCTAGTCGCCAGTTGCCATAGATGCCTATTCCGATGAAAGTCCCATCTAAATTGGAGAAGATAGAAAAAAAAGCCAATCATCTGCACAGTATAATAAAGTTCACCAATTTCCTGAAGCATTTAAGCACCGCTCCGGAATTATGCATGCACGTACAGCAAATTTTCTTTAAGTGTTACTTTACGTGCCGCAGTTGCTGCTATGGCAGATTCATAACTTGACAAGGGGAAAGGAAAGTAAGAGCAACAAAAAACTTAAGAGGTAAGACGTCGTTTTGTATTCTGAAGATCCAAAGGAAAGCCAAGTAATAAAAGCCATTTCACTAGTACAAAAAACTTATGAAACAAGAAACAAGAAAGCCAGACTGTTAGCATAACAAGTAGGAACTGAAAAGTTGATGCTCCCTTTTGACGTGAGAGACCTAATGTAGAACACTAAAGATAAAAATATAATGACATATCCATTTTGGGAAATCAGTGGGTTGGTACACATGTAAGATGTACAGTTAAAGTATGGTGAAAACGTGATGTGGAACCCAACAACCCTTCAGATGACTTGTACAATGTCAGAAGAATCAGAGAGCATTACCTAAAACCTAAGAATCAGAACAACGACCTAACTCTGCATTCATCATTTGTCCCAGTTCGTCATTGACATTGTACGACCTACATGAATGGGATTATGTAGATAAGATATTTAAAGCATTACATGTGGAAACTTACGAACTATGCTGCTTATTTACCATTCAGATATGAAATCATTTTTACTAACATACTCCCTAGTCTCGACTTTCGATCCGAAAAATTGTATGAAGGATAAACAATTCTAAATATGCAATTTGTCAAGATAATCTCGTAGTCCCAACTCAAAGGATGAGGTTTAACTTCACCATAATCATTACAATCTCATCACATGTATGCAGCTTTCTAGTTTTAACTTCCAATAAGAAGAGGCAGGTGACTTGGACTGTAATCAACTAATAATCTTAACCATTGTAATGTTCAGAAAGCAAAATAGTTACCGGATATTCAAGTAGGCTTCAAACTGATCGCTTTCTACGCCACGAGCGCAACGCAGGTAAAATCCCATGTGCGATCCACATCTTCTTTATTAGGATATATCACGCTTTGCCTTTCTTGCTGAAAGCATAGATATGCATAAAACTACGTAAGTCTGAGTGTACCATGAAAGCAAAACCATCCAAAAAGATTCAAGAAGGAAGTTCTCGATTTCTCTACATAGATTGCAGCTGTGTCTTTACCTTTCCTTAACCTGCTTTTCTTAATAGGGGGTCCATTCCCTTCAGACGCCTTAATCTTCCTATTTTGACTTGGGGTGAAAGCTGGTGGCTGGCTGCCGCAACTTGTGCACTGCACCAATCTTGGCTGTTTAGGGAACATGGAGAATTTTCCCTGTGGTGGATTAAAGAAATCAGGATACAAGAAAAAAGCCAGCAAGATCGAAGCTTCTTCATCCAAAGTTTGGACCTAGGCCCATAAGCCACAAAACCACTCAATACATTAGATGGCCAGTTCTAAGACTAGTTGGTTTCTTCCTACCAACCAACAAAATCTAGCACCTCACAAGCTGCTCAAGCCTAGAAGATAGCAGTGTCATCCCATAGAATGTGATCAATATACGAACCCATCAGTGTGATAATGGTATCCTAGACCAAAGACATTACTAAACAATAAGCAATCTCATGGTATCTATACATCTCAATAAGCACAAACACTTGAATCGAAGACATGTAACTAAAGGAGGATCAATTGTGCACTGTCAAGATCTCAGACGAAACTGACTTACGCACAAATCAAATTTCTTAGAGCACCATAATGCAGGATGCAATGGATGATCCGAATTTCTCTGTTCTAGAACCTGGAGATAACTTAGGACAGAAGATTAGTCCTATGGTTTATCAGCTATGGTTTTCTTTTATCTTTGCCTGTTCAGAAAGATCTGATGTGAACTTATACAGCACGGTATCGAAATTGCAAGGCACTTATGTTTCTCGTATGAGATAGCTACGACAGAAAATGATGATTCATATGGCAAGGATTTGGAATCGCAATCATCATAGACAATTCTTCCATGGAGAAGTTGGACTGTACTGATAAAAAAAACACACAGAAATGATAATGAAATGTAGCTGAACTTGGTAACCTAACCACTACATCAATCAATGTAATAGCTGTACAGTCAATTCAAATGTTATTGGTTCTTCAGTGATTCAATTTCATATGTCGAGAACACCTAACGACATCAGAAGGGCTCGGATGTTTCTGCATATGACTCAGACATGTTTAATTTCTTAATGCAGGATTCAGAAACCAAACCAAAGGACTGACAATTTCGCTAAAAGAACGTAACAAAGCTACAGAGATCATAGCTGACAAAGATAATGCCCCTTACCAGATCATTTCAAGCCGCAAGATCTTCAAGGTACAGAGCTTCACCTGAGCACTTGCACTTTTCAAATGCCATTCAGAAGCTCCCATAGTCGAACTCAATCGGCTGCAGAAACAGCAAAACTAAGAAAATATGGAAACAAACAACGAAGCGTATTAGCTCATAAGATCGATAATGCAAAATCATAATTCATGTATACCGCCATTAACCCCAAAATCTCGTCTCCCCTTCCATGATTCAATAGATGTTCATTTCGCAAACCTTCATCAGGCCGCTTCTGAGACACTGGATCGACATTCCTTCACGCAACCACACACACCACAAGTACGCGCAATCAAGGGAAACGAAGCAGATGATCTACAATTATGGCAATGCCGAAAAGATTAGGGCAAGAAACACAGAACGGGGCGACGCATTGCAGCAGCAATGTGCGTTTTCTCACCTGTACTAGAATCGGCTGCTCCGGCGAATTCGAATTCAAAATCAGCCGCGATTTTTCACGTTAGTTCTTTTCTCGAACGGCTTACTGCCTCCACTCCGTCCGCCGCCGCACGCCCGCACGAAACAGAGCTTCCGCCACCAGAGTCCCGGAGGCTCTCTCTACGTTCCTCATTGCGCCGGGGAGCGAAGCAGCGATTCTTCTTCGCGCTTGGCAAATACGAAAAGAGTTTTTAGTGGCGGGCTGGCGGCAGAGGGAAAATAGTACGGAGCGAAGGTTCAGCTCACATTTCGAGGGAACCAAACAGTAGGATTAGCAGAGCATTACTTTATAATTTTTATATTGAAGCAGGTATACGACGCCGGATAGGAAAACGGGCCTCTGGCAAATGAGACCACGCGAATTCGTCCGAATAGAGCCGAGGCTCCAAGCCCAGAAGCATGGGAAGGATTGTGTTCTGCCTAATCTCTCTATTAAGCACTAATAATCTGCTAACGAACATGTCGACAGGCCAAATATCCAGTAAGTGGATGTTACTGTTAATAAATAATAACAAGCTCCTCGTCAATCTCGCCGGCCGACGTATACAAATTAAGATTAAAAAAATTCATAAGCATAACTATTTTTTACCATTCACAATTACAGGTACGAATTCATCCGCCACTCCCTCCACAATTACAGTGAACCTGATGCTGATTACTTCTGCTTACAGGTAGTGTGTCTTCTTTGGCGTTTGTGGAAAAACCGGTGTTTTGTTTTCTTTGATCGTAAACAGGTACGAATTGAAACATTAGCAGCGCAATGGAGACATCAAGTGTCTGAAGCTGATTCAGCAATTCTGCAATCGAGTCATTCTAATAGCGCTACTCAGGGATCTAGTCCGAATGGGGGGTTGAGTGTTCCTGCGGCAAATGGGTTCCATTATGTAGTTACCTTCGATGGGGCTACTCGTTTGGGTTTGCTGGGCACATCGGCTTTTGTGATCAAAGAAAGTTCAGGTTGTCTGCTCTCAGCGCAAGCTCGTCAATGGGAAGGTGTGCACGATGCGATGGTGTTGGAGGCGCTTGCGTTGCGGGACGTTTTGCTTGAATGTCAGAGGAGGAATCTTCATTCAGTTAGTGTGGCTGGGGATGCAAAGATAATAATTGACAAATGTTGTGCTCGAGATTTTCACCATTCCAAAGTAGGTATTCTTCTGAAGGAAATCTGTAGTTTGCTAGATGAATTATCGGTTTACTCGCTTCGGTTCATAGGTCGTTCTAACAACAGGGAAGCTCATTCTGTGGCTCGTCATGCCCTGTTCATGTCACCCCGTATGTTTAAGGGGTCCGACTTCGTCTCTTGGTTACGATGTATGTAGAAATCCTTTTGGATTTTCTTCAGACAATGTATCTTTTTCTGTCCCCGATCTTGGGGTACTGAATGTCAAAAAAAATAACTATTTTTTACCCTATGTTCTTTAAGGTCAAGTTGCCATCAATATTATTTGTTTTTTTATTCCTTAATCAGTAGTAAATAGAACACAATGGAGAAAAACAGTGTGTGTATGGTACATGACATGTACCTCATTAAGAAAAAAAAATTAGGTTAAATTTTACATTTAAAAAAAAAACTATATTTAATATCATATATGTGCGGCCACAAAATTTCCCCTCGTGCACATGAAAGGAAAATGAAAAACTAAGTAAATTGCATGAACTGCTTTGTGAACCAATAATTGATATGCATGTGCTCTTTTGGGCATTTTGTATTCATGTGAATTATATATATAAACATATATAGTTATGCGTTTCTACGTCGAGCTAAAGGCACAACTAATGTAGCATTAAAATATATACATAATATAATTAATTATTTAAAGTAGCTTTTTTCCCCCTTCTTCTAGTGACACTGTGTGTTTGATTAATGAAAACCATGAGATGTATATAGTTGTCACACATCATTAATATTAATTAATTTTGTTGGGTTTGCCCTAATTTCACGACCTACTACAAATTCATTTTGTTCCCTCTTTGTTTTGGGGATGTGCCACTAGCGAGCTAGGTACCAAAAACCAGTAATGAGTTAACGTTTTGTCGAGTCGGCAATTCCTCACTGGACCAACCTGGCCTGGTTTGGTTTTTAGTGGATCCAAGTCGGCAAAAAAAAAAAAAAACCGATCATGCTGCATTGATTTTACAGCCTGTGGGTCGGTTTAACCTAATCGAAATAACATGATCGTGATTGGCTGGCAGTATGGCACCAAGTAAAATTATGTACCACCTCAATATACCCATAATAACATGATTAAATACATTATTGGTTCTCAGTCCAGTTTTCCTGGGTTGTCCCCCATGTTTACAAATGGGATCTCAAATTACCGTTTCGCATTCGTCTCAAAAACTCGACTTATAGCAAAAAAAAAACTAGTTGATACGATTTGATCGTGCTTAGCATCATCCAGAGTCGTTACTTAGTTAGCGATACAGACTTATTTTAATGCGATAATCAAACTATTGGTATAATTGACACATGCATCATACTAAAGAGATTTGAGCTTTTTCTATTTTGTTCTTGTGGGAAAGAAGTCAAAAGGGATTGTGCTATGGTGCTCAGTCTCGAATTGAGTGTTGGACACTCTTGATCGGTCGTTTGATAGATGCAGTACTGACAATTCTGTTACATGCAACCACATCTATTCAACAATTACGAGAGCGCGCTCAACATATGATTTAATGGTTGTGCGCCTTGTGAGCACGTTCCGACGGACAATCTACGAAACATCATAACCGGGTTGAAAGAGAGAAGCTAAGTATGCACACACACAAAAAAAAAAAGCGGTGAAACCCTAGTGGCGACATTTCTTTTCCTTGAAAAGGAAATCCCTATTGGCGATGGGCGATTGGCGGAGAGGATCTGTTCTCTGTGTGTGTCCAAGTCCCAACATTTGTCGCCAAGTGTCGAGAACTTTCTGCACAGTAGTATTAACTACTTAATTGCCTCCATCCTGGTTGGTTAGTGAAGTGGGTTAACTTTTCATTCTCTTTTTCATGACAGCTAGCTAGGGTTATACAACTTTTTAGTTTACTTAGCTTAATCAGCAAACCTCTTATCTTAACCTTCTCTACGAGACTGTAAACAGGCAGCTGCATGCACCTGCACATATCATTTATCCATCGTCACGTGCCTTAGTCAAGGGAAATTCCCAGTGTTATATAGTATCATTGTATCGTATCAGAGGTTTAACCGGGAAAAACGTTTTATCGCAATATAAATTCGTAGGCGGTTTTCAACAGTATGAAACAACGGTTGAACTTTAAATTACGGGTTCAACATAACTTTTCTAGTACAACTTTCGATATAGTTTTACAATCCTTGAGATATAACCGTAAATCGAAGTTTTTTTTTTCCTTCCAAAAGAGCTAAAAGGGAAAAAAGAAAGACTTAAAAGGCGGGGAAAGCAAGCAGAAAGAGGTGCATTAGAATCTTGATGCATGCCTGCTGCCTTTCTTCAATGGCATGCAGAGACGACTAAGACAACATGAGTAGCTAGCAATGACTCAAAAGTTGAGTTTGATTCTTTAAATATGCTTCCGTGAAAATTAAAAAATAGTTTTATCAATAAATATGAACATGCATGTCTTGACAATTGGGAGAGATGGCAAGAAAGCTCATAAACATAGCATTTAAAGGGCGTCCAAATTTTGTTCATAAATTAAATATGGAATTTAAACTTTAAATGCCTTCATGGTATAATCGATAGACAAAAATACCGTCATGTGCCTTAAAAGATGTGAACTTCTTACGAGAATAAATGATCCGATGAGATAAGATAATCTGCTACAACATTAACCTCTCCGTAAATATGTTCCATCCTAACCTGCCCGAGGAACATTTGTAAACCATCCAAATGATTTTGCCTTGTGTAGTGCCACCATCCTTACGCATTTGCACTATGTTTGGGAAGGGGTGTAAATGGAAGGGGGTGCAAGTTTGGAGGGGTAAACACAAGTTCCAAGGTGTTTACCCCCGTTTGGTTATTTTGTAACAGTAGTGGGGTGCAAAACGTGAGCGTAAATTCACTGTTTCGGCTTACCCCCCAAATTGGGGTGCAAGGGAAGGAAGGAAGGGAGGGGGAAGGGGGAGGAGGGGAATTATGAATTTTTAATTAGACTATAATTACATAATAATTAATATTATTAATTTTTCTTATATCTATATTAGTGTAGAAGTTGTTTGGGGTTGACCGTTTGACTCAGAGAGCAAGTTTGTCAATGTTCGCCTCGTCAAATCGATATCTCTTAGTTGACCCGAATTTGCATTGAAAATTAGAGATAAGAAGTATTTGTTGAAAAGATAGAGAGGAACATTTTAGTTAACTCGATTTACTTTAATAAGTAGTTAAAACTTACAGATTCGAACGTGTTTGACTAAGTTTGACCATATTCAATTTAAAGTTAGGCACGAGAACCCCCTTAGGATGACCAGTTATGAGTTGGATTTCGAGTTTCGAGGTTGCTCGACCAATGATTATTATTGTTGTTATAAATAATTATATTTGAGCATTATTATATAATAATTATTTTTATTAAAATTATTTTTATTTATTATTTTTATTATTATATATTGAATTTTCATGTTTGTGATAATATTTTATAAATTGATAAATCTATTTTATAATAATATAATTACTTACTTTTTACTCTATTTGCACCCCCCTACTTTTTCATCCAAACAACAATTTACCCCTCCACTTACACCCTCCACCAAGTTGCACCCCCCAACAATTTACCCCTCAACTTGTACCCCCCTCGAACTTGCACCCCCCTTGTTGCCAAACATAGTGTTGGTGTTTTCATTCATTTATAGTTTATAGAAT